GGTTGAGCTCCGCGTAATATACAAAAGTATGACAAACACGCGCATTTACTACCCTTTGTTTATTGTTAATAACCAGGGTTACTTCCCCCCCCCCCCACTTAATTTAAGGGGGATAACTAGCCGACCACGATGTTCAAAAAAACTTTTGAAACTCTTCCAAAGGATGTCTGATCAATCTGATAAAGATTAAGCCACACACAAGAGGTTGCATGGGCATGAATAGCCTGTAACATTAATCTGGCTGTGATTCTCTCACTGCGAGCAGCAGCGTCTAAAAGCCTGATTCACCAGACCTGTAACTAGGAAGCCTAGTCAGATTCGACTGCGAGGATCTCTATCCCCGGAACCACCAACAGGTAGACCCCATTCAGTTATATTAAATTACCTTTTCTAGTACCCGTGACCTATCGCAAACGCCAGCTGGTGTCAATGCCCCCATAAAAAAACAATTTTTGTCACGTTTCGTCCTTATCTGCAACTTTCATTCGAATCACGTTAATTTTATGAACGTTAAATCTATTTTAAATTACAAAATAAGTAGTATTTAAATACTAAAACACTGAAGAATACTAACAACGTTTGGATCCCTCCTGAACCAATAGACCGATGATCAGATAAGTAAAACTTAACCCCCCCCCCCTTTTCCTGTTTCAAGTTGAGAGCGCGTGCTTGCCACGTAATTGTGACTCGTGGCAAGAATTGTTTACTAAACTATAGTGGCTACGAGGAACGTTAATCCAAAGATTACCTTTTCCTTGCTATCAATCTACAAACGCTACTGGTACTAATCAGATCGAAAACTGACATTACAAATAACATGCATTATCTGCTACCCGAAGTACCTGAAGATAACGCTATCCACAGTAGCTGCAATTGTGAAAATACAATGATAGAGCTGTTTATAAGAAATTCTTTATCTCAAATATTTCCTGATATCCCCTCCCCCTCGTACATAATCAACCAGCCCACTGACCAGTAAAAAGCAGCACTCCCCCCCTCCCCCACCCTTTCACACATGTATACCCAGAGAAGTGTAGACTGTTCCCCCATTTGTCTTAGCAGTTTACTCCCGTACAGTAATAGGTACTACGTCCTCGACTATTTAGTATCCCAGGTTCGATCTCCAGACGGGATGGAAATTGTTAGGCAAGTATCTTTTCACCTGATGCCCCTGTCCAACTAGCAGTAAATAGGTACCCGGGAGTTTAGGCAACTGTTGTAGGGGGCGGGGGGGAGGGGGGGTTTACATGCCTCCTGTCCTCGACAAAACGAATTACTGTACAAGCTATTGTGATAACCCTACCATGGTTGAAAGGCCTTAAAACCCAACCGCCCCCGCCATCCTCCCAGCAATATGCAGCAACAACAACAAATAAACACGACAGCCCACTGACTCGCCCACACCAGGCTGGGTTTCCCACGCCTCGCCTTCAGAGATAACTGTTCTTTCCACCAAACTTGGGGAGGAAGAAGAGATGCCAGTGAAATGTCTATGTGCAATTACCTTTTAATAGCTGTCCCTAAATTCTGTATAGGTAATTGAACATGGCAGTTCCGGTTACGCAAACTGATCACCTTCCAATAACACATTCATGTGTCCACAAACAGCAGTAGCTGCTGCAAGGGAACCGCTAAATATCATGAAACGAATAAGTTTAATTTAAAAATCCGAATACAATACATTCACAATACTGTACATTTAACTATTCAAGTTAGTAGTCTAGTTTTAAAAACGCAAGTAAGATTTGTCTAGCTTCGTGTTAACTTTACATTAAATAAAAACCGAGGAAACCACAGAAGGCCCATATGACCAAATGGAATAGGTTTATGAAGTTTAGGATTATTTACCTTAAGTCAGCAATATATACCACAATAAAAATAGAGGTCCTAGTATGCTGCTTTCGGATATTCGTGGTTAATGAAAATGTAGAGGCCAATGATGATCACTGGAATCTATTGAGATATCTTAGAATATAAGTCAGAGCGAGGCCTCTAATTTTACGTTACTGAGTAATTATCAAAAGAAGGCACCAATTATAGTACTGAATTGTAAGTAGGTTATTCTGTTTTATGGTATCTGCAGCCTTCAGTACATGAAGAGGTACAGTAACTGGTAATTTATTTTTGCAAAGTACTGAGTAGACATTCAGTTAATAACGGCATTGGTAATATTGAGATCTAAAGCTGAAATGATTAGAACTTTGTAGACTACTGTAAGCTATAATGAATTTTAGAAGGCAGAAATACTACCGTTTATAAATACATTAATCTTTTCAATATTTTTTATAATGATAAATTTGAAATAGTGTAATAGTTTGTAATTGTTTAGGCCTCTTATCAGTGTAATGTATCTCACCTGTGCAAAAGTTTTGTATAGGCCTGAGGAAAAGTTAGAACATTTGTGGAGCAAAGCATGAGCAGTGGTTGCATGTGCTTCAAGGAATGTAACTAGCTACCAACATTGGTTTGGAGCGAGGTAAAAAAAAAAAAAAAACTGATAGTGCCAGACAAGATAACTTTCCTCGGTCAGATTTCTGGGAAGGTTAGCCCATAATTGATAATTCAGGCAGATTTGTCATACAAGCTAAATTTTCACATGAAAAGCATCACATGTATAATTACTGTATTCCTTTCTTGATAAAAGGAAATTTTTGCATTTTGAACCAAAACTAAATTTTCAACCTTGACTAACCTAAATATGCCAAACTTTGATAACCATTTAAAACCGTATATTGATACTGAAGGAAAATACTTAAAATTATGCCAAATTACACTGAAAAATGAAAACTAGAACTGAACCTTGCTTATTAGACCAAGTTGGACAGTTGTCTGTCAAGAACTAATAAATAGTTTCACTAAAATCAACTTAAAATTTAGCTAATATTGTAGAAATGAAACTAGGAGGGAATCTAAAAAATAAAAGGCAAACAAGGCTATAATACAAGTAAATGGAGAGAGAACTTTAGTGATAGTTGCTAGTGATCTTGAGTAGTGCATTGAGGCTCTTAACAGGGCTAATAGAATAAAGTATTGCAGTAATTTTATTCCACAGCCTAATTTGCAAAAATGGCTATTGGTGATAAACTACATTCCAAAAAAGTAAAATATTTTCTTGAATTTATTAGTATACTGTATAGAAAATAGCTTGTCAAATGATACACTAAATCATCTTGTCATCCAAAAGTGACAGCATAATACAGTACTTATAACCACAAAAGGTTAAACATGCACAAATTAGACTGTTGCACTCAAAGTTCATTTTCTGTATTACAGTATTAGTTTAGTAGAAGGCATGAGAAAACCAAGTAAACCTAAAATTTTCTAGACCTTGTACTATAACATTAGGAATACAGTATATTAAGCCTAGAAATAGCTTACATGGGCTTAGGACTGGTTATGTTAGGTTGTATAGTTTCTATGCCAATTTTTGGTCTCATTTGGTGAAAGTAGTACAAAAATGTAAACTTTTGGGGGTACAACAGTCCATTTTTACACATTCCACCAATATTTGCTGCAAGTACTGTAGTATATTTCTTGGAAGATGGATTGCAGTAATTCACAGTAACTGAATTAAATAAATCTAGGTGCTTTTCTTCAAATCCATGAACCAGCAGCCTAGTTTGGATAATTTTTTTTACCACTATTTTGCAAGCATTTGAAAAGACTTGTCAACAATGATATTCTGCACTAGCATATGCCTTAGCATTTATCCTACTACTGATTTGACATTCAAGGTTGTGATGATTTAATAACCTTTAAGGTTTATCACAGGTTCAATTCAATCAAGGTTCATAACCAGCAGGCCCACTAGTTATGATAAGCCTCAGGAACCAGGCAAGCCCAGCCCTAGGCAGCAGGAGCAGAAAAAGTCACATGAAATCAGTCTGGGCATCTTGGCCCACGATAATGGTATGTCCATTCCTTCAGTTACAAATACTGTACCCCCTAAAAATTATAATTATGACAAGATTTGCATATAAATACTTATTATGCTGGACTAATTGTTTATACCTATGTATTAGTGACATTAATTCAAATGCATCTTTTAGTCAGCTGACAATCTCTGGTAGGATTCCACAACTTATGTTTTTGGCCATAAAATTACAATTTGGTTAAAATCCACCAGTTTTTCCAATTACTAAAATAAGGAATTGGATTTTTCTAAGGGGTCACTTGGTTTCACAAACTAGCAGAGTGCAGTATTTAACAATCTTTAATGTTATTCATGACACAAACATTTAGACATTTTGTATGATGTGTACTTCTGTCAGCTACAGAAACATATACTGTACACAGTATTAAGAAGTCTACAGACTGGTTCACTGTGGGTTTATAATGAGCATCTTTATAGACCTACTGAATATGGAACAAAAAACTCCATAAGTTAATGACAGTAGGCCTATCCCTTAACACAGCTTCATTAAATCTTGTAGCGATTTACATACTCAAGCCAGCTAGTTGTGTCTCTTGGCCCAAATAAAATACTTACAGTACACTATTGTGTGGGCCGAATATTGTTCATGTACAACCCTTCTCTCTCACTAATACATACAGCTGCTCTTGTACCCATCACCAGGGGGGGACAACCTCCTGTATCCATTTCGTGACCTACTTCAGGAAACACTACGGGAATGTTATAGCTGTGAACCCCAGCAAGGCGGCGACCAACAGCAAGGTGGAACTACCACTACATCAACCCACCTCCTTGACCTGGCCTAACTGGGTTACAACAATCAATGATTCACCCCCTTAAAATACGCACTCTATACAACAGTATCAACAATCACCAGCCGTGCCAAATATTGGGTGCATTACACTAGCATTACAGTGCCAGCTGGTCATAACACTGACATACTGCAGTGCCAGGCCAAACCTACACAACTTTTCAAACACCTAAAAAACTTACGAGAGCGTTCACCAAGCTATGTTTTTGGCGATTTCTAACCACGATTCGGCCATTTACCCTTAACTATCGCACGTGACAGGCACAGGACACTAACCTCGGGCTCTAAACCGGTGTCAGGATTAAAATTGAAGGTCGCGCGCGCTGTGTAACACAAAAGGAAAATCGGGAAGGCTGACTATACCCTCACTCACTGGGCTCACGAGCAACACTGAGGCCAGCCAGGCTTCTCAGTGTCGTCGTGGAGGACAAACATTTGACGGTCGCCAGCGCTGCGCAACACAGTATTCTACTACATCTAGAATTGATCTCCTATTGTTATTTTTATATCTAAAATTGCTATGATATATTTTATTAGTCATTGTAATAGAATTTTATTATATCATTAACCTAAGGAAGCGTAAATTTTGATCTATCTCCACTCCATATGTTACATATTATTTGGAGGGATTATATATTGGTAATATAAATGTATGAATGCACAATGTATTGAAATACTAACTAATTAAATATTACAAATAAAATTCTCTCAATTCTCTGAATATACTGCAAAAAATTATAATAGGAAAACATTCTTATCTGCTCTCACTGTCTTATGAAACATGGAATCCAATAACCCGCAGATAGTTGAACACTGCAACATTTTAAAGTTTTAATTGTTAAATATATCATCAAATAAACTATTTAGAGGAATTAAAATGATAATTTTCCTCTCGTGCTATTCGAAGTAGCCGCACTCTCCGCGCTGCCACCTGGTGGAGGCTGCAAGAGTCGTGTTGCCATGGAAACGTCACCACCTGCTAGTAAACAAACATAACGTGCTCGGAGTATGTCAGCTGCGACGTAGATCAATTAGGAATAACAGCTTATATTCAACGTTTTTTAAGTGAAATATCAAGATAGAACCACGTGAACATATTGTTATTAACAATTATTAGTGATACTTATCTGAAGATGAGCTGCCGAACTCCATAACGTCTCACATCTGTTCCGTACCATTCAACGTTCTTACGTTCAGCGTAAAATGCAGTCTTGTTAAGTAAGTAAATTATATAGAAACTTTATTTCATCTCAGTTTTCTGAAATACTGAAATATTTGCAGTAACGATTAAGGAGTTTATTAATAATATAAATTTTAAACACTATACAAGATTATATCTATAACCTAACACATATACAGCTTACTTTATAGAAGTCAACATTTAAGTCTCATATTAACTCTATATTGTTATTATTTTAAAAGATATTTGAATGAAATTTTTATATTACAAAGGGAATGAAAGAACCTTCATATGTAGCTATACCCATATACTTTACATAAGACATAACATAAGACAAAGTTAGAGAAGATTCAGCGGTATGCCACCAGGCTCGTCCCGGAACTGAGAGGATTGAGCTACGAGGAAAGGCTAAAGGAGCTGAACCTCACATCCCTGGAAAACAGAAGAGTAAGGGGAGACATGATAACCACCTACAAAATTCTCAGGGGAATTGACAGGGTGGACAAAGACAAACTCTTCAGCACGGGTGGGACACGAACAAGGGGACACAGGTGGAAACTTAGTACCCAGATGAGCCACAGAGACGTTAGAAAGAATTTTTTCAGTGTCAGAGTAGTTAATAAATGGAATGCACTAGGAAGTGATGTGGTGGAGGCTGACTCCATACACAGTTTCAAATGTAGGTATGATAGAGCCCAGTAGGCTCAGGAATCTGTACACCAGTTGATTGACAGTTGAGAGGCGGGACCAAAGAGCCAAAGCTCAACCCCCGCAAGCACAATTAGGTGAGTACAATTAGGTGAGTACTTAATTTAGTATATCTTTGATGTACTGTATATCTTTGTGATGCGTGTTCATCTTAGCTTTTATACTTTAGCATTTATTAGTAAGTTTAATTCTTTATAATTTAAATGTGGTGATGACATTCTGGTGGTGTAAAAAGTAAATTTTCTTTTGATTGTTGCTGTACTGCACATGCTATCTGAATATTAATTCAAAAGTAAATTGCAAAAATAATTGCTGATATTATAATTGCAAAAAAAAGGAAAATGAGTCATCACATTTTATAGCTTTATTAATACAACTCTGTGTTATAACTTTTGACACATCTCTCATTTATAACATGTGTCATATAAGCATTTATAAGTAAACAGGCGAACATATTCTGGAGTACTAAACCCCTGAATTAATCTCCAAGTTGACCATGGGTATGGAGGCGTATACGGTGGTGGGAAGGATCGGCGAGGGCGCCCACGGGGTGGTAGTGAGGGCCAGACATAACCTGACGGGGCAGATGGTGGCGCTGAAGAAGATCCCACTGAGGCGGCTGGACCAGGGCATGCCCACCACCGCCCTTAGGGAAATCAAGGCTCTCCAAGAGATCGACTCGAAACACGTAAGTCAGAAATTCGTGGGCTACTGCTTACTGCATGAATATCAATGAACTTTAATATGACAAACATCACTGACTGAGGCACACTGATTAGTGTTTTGTGTATGTTAATAAGTTTAGGAACACAGTATTGTGTGTGATCTTTGAAGTCTTTCAAGCGTAGGTTAAGTCATCTTCTAATATTCGAAAGTAAATTAAATAGTTGCAAAAGTTTAACATATCTCAAGCAATTTGATTTAAAATGATAGAAAATTAGCTATTAACTTATATACCGCCAATAGCCTTTTTTTCCACGACGTTTTTTTTTTTTTTTTTTTTTTTTTTTTTTTTTTTTTTTTTTTTGAGATATATACAAGAGTTGTTACATTCTTGTACAGCCACTAGTACGCGTAGCGTTTCGGGCAGGTCCCTGGAATACGATCCCCTGCCGCGAAGAATCGTTTTTTCATCCAAGTACACATTTTACTGTTGCGTTAAACAGAGACTACAGTTAAGGATTTGCGCCCAGTAAATCCTCCCCGGCCAGGATACGAACCCATGACATAGCGCTCGCGGAACGCCAGGCGAGTGTCTTACCACTACACCACGGAGACTGCTCAAACTTGAAGGAGGGCACGTTTACACTCAGAGATCAGTGTTGGGAGAGTCCGTACCTGCAGATACTGCCTTGTGCTCTGCGTTCGTACGTTTTCTTTCACCTGATGCTTTTGTTCACCGAACAGTCAATATACACCCAAGAGTTAGGTAACTGTTGTGGGTTGTATCCCGAGGCAGGTCAGTAGTTGGTCTAGGCAGCGACCTCGATATCCCTACTTACAGGCTTTTTATCCCCGACAACGTGGAAAGGTATAGTTCTAAGTTCTGAACATGACACTTAAGACTAATGCATTCTGTCTTCTGAGTGTAACTGTGGGAAATATTTCCCACCTATATGCATAAATAACTGAATAATGAATTTATATAATAATAAACTACTATGAGGATTCGTCCTCTGATTAAGACTATATGACTAATTATAAATTACTAAAGCTTAACCTGAGCTTTTATGAGGATTCGTCCTGTTATTATAATATGAAACTAATTATTACTGAGATGACGCAATTCTTTCTCTAGATTTCGTCAGCTGTTTACACTTCACCACTGGCAAGTGTAAACAGACCCTCAGTAACAACACTTCACCACTGGGAAGTGTAAACAGGCCCTCAATAACAACACTTCACCACTGGGAAGTGTAAGTGAGGGTGGGTGGTGGATAGAAGGGACTGAATATGATGGGAAGGAGGGCCGCAGGATGGAGATAGAGAGGGCCGCAGGATGGAGATAGAGAGGGCCGCAGGATGGAGATAGAGAGGGCCGCAGGATGGAGATAGAGAGGGCCGCAGGATGGAGGTAGAGAGGGCCGCAGGATGGAGGCAGGGAGGACCGGCCAACACACACCGCAGCCCTCCGCAGTGTCACTTCCGCTGCTGTTAAACATAATTATAAACCATATAATACGTCTCTGGTGTCATCAGACCTCATTGGTTGCTACTTGCATTTTAAACCCTAAACAGTGTAAGTCTTCTGCTTGGTGAAACGTTGCCAAGCCTGTTGACGTGTTGGGTATTTTGTCTCTTACGCTCGAGATGTTGACGACCTGCATCGATCCCAGAGCCAGAACTTGGCTGCTTTAAGCCACAACTGGAACAATACTCACTTGAGCCAAGGTCATGCAACATGTTTACACCGTGCTCGACGAGGTCAAGGTCATATTTCACATCACAACTTGGGGAAGGAAAGGAGACTTCTCATTGCTATCAAAGGATTTGTAGCGATATTTATTCAAATGCGTCCTTAGGAAAGAGGTTCAAATATGTATGTTTGTCGTCTTCTAATATGTAAACAAAGGATTCAATCAGCTGATACAGCAGCACTTGGTGACACAAAAACTGCGCAAATAAGTGGCTACATGAAATTAACCTCAATAAATGTAAGAATATGATTATAGTCACAGGAAAATGACGACCACAGGTACAGCAAAGTACAGTATGAGAGTGAAGCAGCTCATAGGATCAGATACAGAGGACCAAAGATGATCACAACCAGCCTATTTACAGAAGCATACTTATACAGGGGTCACACCGGCGGTACATGAATCCACACGTATGAGAACTGAGAGGAAAGTACGCCAGTGGATAAGAGAGTGCCTAAGCAATAGAAGACAGTCCCAAAGAGAAATGTTACCAGCGAGGTCCCACAGGGTCAACGGTAAGAATATATGTTATTCTTGATCTACGTAAATGTAGTTGTTGTAAATGTAAATGTACTACGTATGTAAATTTACTACGTAAATGTAGTAAAAGTTGCCAGAAGGGATTGACTCTCAGTGCTTATTGATGATGTAGAAATTATGAGTATGTATGCAATGGAAGATTGCAAGAATCTACAGGACTACCTGGAAACTGAAAGAATTATCCAACAAGTTGCTATTTCAGTTGAACTCATATATGTCGGGGGTTTATACCACGCCGAACCTGTCTCCAGAGGCTCAAATCAACCGGATATCATCAGCGGAATATACTAGTTCGGCCAATATGATACTGCCGTTAGGACCCCTGCGCTTATCAAATATGTCAGACCAATTTTGAAATATGCAGCACCAGAGTAGAATCCTAATCTCATTAACCACAAAACAAAGTTGGAGAAGGTGCAGTGATTTGCCACAAGACTTGTACACACACACAAGAGGGATGAGCTATTATGAGAGACTAAAGCAATTAAGCTTCACCTCACAGGAACATATTGAAACATATTACACACACACACACACACACACACACACACACACACACACACACACACACACACACACACACACACACACACACACACACACACACACACTGACACCCTTCTCCCCCATCCTGCCGTGCAAATCTCACTCTGTTCATACTTTTCCTACTGCAGATAAACTATAGTTTGGCGCGTGGGTCGCATGGCTCTCTCTCTTGGCCCCTCTCAGCTTGCCACCTCCTCTCTCTTGGCCCCCTCTCTCTTGGCCCCCTCTCTCCTGACCCCCTCATGGTCCCTCCGCTCTTGCATCCCCTCCTGGTCACACTTTCCTGCAAGATGCAAGACGAACTTGCATAGGACTGTCGGCTGCAACACCTTGTGTGTTACTACTGCAACGTACACCTTCCTCTACATTTTATATACACAAACAATGGGGGGGAGAGAGAGAGAGAGAGAGAGAGAGAGAGAGAGAGAGAGAGAGAGAGAGAGAGAGAGAGAGAGAGAGAGAGAGAGAGAGAGAGAGAGAGAGAGAGAGAGAGAGAGAGAGAGAGAGAGAGAGAGAGAGAGAGAGAGAGAGAGAGAGAGAGAGAGAGAGAGAGAGAGAGAGAGAGAGAGAGAGAGAGAGAGAGAGAGAGGGGGGGGGGAAGAGGGGCAAGAGGGGGGAGGGGGGGGGCAACCGTGCGCGGGGGAAGTCTTTATGTGAAAGTATTTCGAATTCCAGAGCAGACTTCCGGCTAGGAAGAGCAAGTCTTGCGTGTGCTTAATTCAGTCCCGTTGTGGGAGACATGTCCTCCTCCGTTGGCATCTTCTTATTTTTCTGCATCCTTCGCTTTCACCTCTATTACACCATCTTCATCGTCTTATTCTTCCTCCTTTTTCTACGTCTTATTTTTCTTTAATTTCTTACTTTTCGTTTTCCGTGTTCACTTTTCCAACATACTCTGAGTGAGTCATACTCTCCCCAGCATACTCTAGGGGTGTAGCCAGGTATATCCTGTACTGGTATACCGTGGAGCAAGATAGGTAATGTAGACTGTGGATTATCTACATCACCTATCAGCGGACTGTGACCGCTGCCAACACACAGTCTTCCAGTCAATACCAGTCACTGGAAACCCTTGGGACAGGGGCGGCCAACCTTTCCTAGTCCCAAGGACCTGCCAGGTCTCGCTATACGTATGGCATCCGTTACGTCTTGTTGTTTATTGCGAGCCGGATATGTTCTTAGTTACGTCTTAGTACTAGTGCGGCCCGGATATATTTTTATTTACGCGTAAATAGTTTAAACATGGCATCATTCACTCATGATACTGCACATATATATGTTATCAGTGGTAATATTTTATAATACTTCTTAGAAATTTTAATATACCGACTATGAATAATGATACACGTGCAGGCGATGAGTCACAATATCGTGGCTAAAGTATGTCGACCAGACCACACACTAGAAGGTGAAGGGACGACGACGTTTCGGTCCGTCCTGGACCATTCTCAAATCGAGAATGGTCCAGGACGGACCGAAACGTCGTCGTCCCTTCACCTTCTAGTGTGTGGTCTGGTCAACATAATGATACACAATAGGCTAGTCATGTAAAATACTGACCCAAATCTAACCTTACAGACGGCGGTTCTCTGCTCGCCTGACGCGTTCTCCCTGTGAACATACCTGAAATAAACATATTTCCAGGTTATTTTCCTGTTTGTAACAAGGACGAAAGAACGCTCCAATTTTCAGACATTTCTCTTGGTAATTCATCCAGTTCAAATGGCTGCACAACACATTTAACATCCAACATGCCGCTGGCCGGTTCTGTGGGGTTAAGTTCGGGTGATTTAGTAAACTATTTTTTGTCCGTTGTGGTAGCTCAAGAGGAAGAGCTAGCTAACCCGTCCCCTCAACTAATAGGTTTGTTTACGTTATAGCAAACATTACAAATGCAACCTATTTAGAAAAGTAGCGGCTCACAAATATATATCCGTTTTCAAAACATCGGAATCGATCGGTTAGGTGGGATGCTTGGGTTCATACGTTCCTGGTTAGGCTAAATGGTAGGATATTTTACGGTGTGGGAAATGAAGAGAACGGTTTGGTCGGTATGTGCTTGCTTCAAGACTTAATTCCTTCTTGATTAGCTGGCACGGTCGCTATATGTGTTTGCTTCTTTCAGAACCTACCTTTTGAGAGGTTGTGTGAATGGTAATGAATATTGAAATTGCTGGCGTTTAGCTCTAGGTGTGTGAAACAATATTTTCATGCATTATAAGCCTCGTCAAGAAACTTATGGACATATATATACTGTCTTGTCTAACAAACTAAGTACCCAAAACCACGTGAGTTAAATAAGGTAGTTTTTCACTCAAAGGGTGATACATTTTAAGCAACAAAATTGGTAAATATGACAAATTCAAGATTGAAAAAATAGCATGTGGAAATATATACACAGTTAAAGATATATATACACAGTTAAAGACTACAAATGACTTGCATTGCGTCAAGAAAATTATCTAAGCACAACATATGGCTAATCGAAGCCTCTTATAACTATGTAAATTATGTCCAAAATTGATATATAACATTTCCTGCTAATATGTGACGCAATAATACTAGTTCTCGAGTGTGATACAAATTACTTACCGACAGACTTAGCGTGGTCAGTTTTGTAATTATGTGTATAAGCAGCTGCATACATACACGAGGGCGAGTTTAGTATTATCAAACAAGGTGACCATTTTATTGATCAGACAAGCAAAACAATAATTACAACTAAATCCATAATATAGTGAATAATTATAACTAGTTACCAAATAATTCAACATGGCAGTCAGAAACCACGCATGATCGTTATGTCCGTTTTTCATCTCATTAACAGCTCCTTTCAGCCATTTAGTTTAGGTTAGATTTGTTTACATAACATCACGTTAGATTATATTAGGTAACACAACCTTAGAAAAAGATCAGGTACCATCACGTTATGTTAGACTTGATTAGGTAAAGTAACACCAGGTAAGGTAGACTGACGTTAGGTAACATCAGGTGATGTTACCTAACGTCAGTCTACCTCACATATACCTGCACTTGGCCTAAGAAGCATTGTTTTTATTTGTATATAAATCAAAGGCTGTTATGAGAACTTGTGATTAGTCTCAGCCGTCTTGTTTTGCTAATGTAGCCTCTTTATGTTTGCTGCACAAGAGAGCATTTTTAAAGTAAAACTTCATATTTGAAGCTATTATCAGTTTCCTATATAAAAAAAAAGAAGCAAATGGATAAGCTACATTGATTTGAAAAAAGTGTCATTCATACACACACATGAACAAATGAACAACAGGTGTGTACGAGCGCCAGGAAGGGTATACTGATAACTACTTCACAACACTCGGCAACCTTAAAAATGGTCGATTATCTTATTTATATTCTATCTAGGTATACAAATGAGTAGATAGTGGGCTGATAACTGCCTGTGTGCACGTGGTCTAGTGTTGATTCTGGTTAATGTGATGTTGGTGATTGTATAACTGGTTGTTCGATTGTTGGACGTGTTCGCTGAGGGATGGTTAACGTGATGTTGGTGATTGTATAACAGGTTGTACGATAGCTGGATGTGTTTGCTGAGTGATTAATGTGATGTTGATTATAAAACAGGTTGTGAGGTTGCTGGACGTGTTCGCTGAGGGAGCCGGGTTTGTGTTGGCGGTAGAACTAATGTTGGGTGACTTGGGAGAGATGATCCGCGATGCTACACGACCTCTGACCTCAGCCCAGGTCAAGGCCTACATGACCATGTTGCTCTCGGGGGTCGCCTTCCTTCACGAGCGGAACATCATGCACAGGGTCGGTGGCGCAACTGTCTATCGTGCCTCAGTTCATCATACAAAACTATATTATATTTAGTTAAATTAAAATTGTAAATAATGAGTTGAATTATATATTAATATCCGAAAATATTAATATAAAAAATAATACTTATAAATACAGCATATGTGGCCGTTACATAAGTCAATCTCAAAACTATTAAAGAGAAACAGAAAGTGGTGTAACCCTGATCTCGGTGTATGTGCACTCAAATTACTATAGTTCTGAACATAGTCCAAGATCAAAGTGTTCTTGCTGGTTGGTCAAAAAGATATTGTGGTGGTCTTAATATCCCTCCCGCGGCTGATGGGCCTTAAGCCAGACACCAAATCAAGGCCTCGTGCAGTCTAATATATATGTATATATTAGGCTGCACGATATTGATTTTTTTATGTTTGATTTTGACTATGATGTGTGTGTGATGAATTTTGTATTTGTACCAGGACCTGAAACCTGCTAACCTGCTGATCAGCGAGACAGGTCAGCTGAAGATAGCTGACTTGGGCCTATGCAGGGTGTTTACCAAGGATGGCAAGAGACCTTACTCTCATCAGGTACATTATGTATTTTGGTAGTATTTTGTAGTTTCTCTCTCTCTCTCTAGGGCACCATTCCGTCCCCCCGTCCTATCCCAAATCCTTATCCCTAACCCCTGTGAGTGACCTGGCGGTGGCTGTCCCAGTCTTCATTAATTATATATTTTGTGTATAATATTATTCATGAAAATTAAGTCAGTAATTGCACTAACGTGACTGCATATATTATGTGTATGTCAATGCACGTTAATGCCTTCATTAACAGATTAATGTATATATTTAACATTTATGATGAAATAAAATTGAATTATCAAGCAAATGTAAAGTGTAGCTAGAGATTTCCACCATCTGTCAGGATACGACCCCATATCTCTGTCTTTCCGCTCTTCTTTTAGGAGAAACTAATGACTGCAAAATAACAAAAACTTTTCCGCACGGCAGTAACTCAGTGCTAGTATGAATTTTTTGTTTGCACTTTATAAAAGTTTAGTGTGTGACACTTGGTGGTAGAGCAGTATCCGTGTGCATGTTGCAGTGATGGCAGCTGTGAGTGACATGGTGGTATATTGTGAGTGGAAGCTAGTTACTATAGAGTGATGTACCGTGTACCGCAGGTGGCGACCCGCTGGTACCGAGCTCCCGAGTTGCTGTATGGTGCCCGCCACTACGACGAGGGGGTCGACCTCTGGGCCGTCGGCTGTATCTTCGGCGAAATGCTCAACAATTCTCCTGTCTTCCCGGTGGGTCGTCGTTTCTTCCTACCCCCCTCCCTCTCTCTCCCTCCCTCCCTCCATCTCTTTCCCTCTCCCTCCTACCCCCTCTCTCTCCAATTTGGATATCATGATTTTCATTTGTGTAATTAGTTCTCCATTAGGCTAAAAGTATTTGTCCAAGTGGTGGTGGGGGGGGAGGTGTGGTAGGGGGGAAGGGAATTATCAGGAGAAACCGCCAAGCCATCACAACTATATAACACTTAAAAGGGATCGGGATACGGATTTGGGATAGGATAGGGGGGAAGGAATGGTGCCCAATTACTTGGACGGTCGGGGATTGATCGCCGACCATCTTGGAACGAGACCGTCGTTCTAGTGTTTGGGAAGAGGAGTGGTGGTGGTGAATGTGGGCTGTGAGGTGGGTTGTGTGCAGTGGAGGAGGTGGTGGGTGGTGTGAAGCAGTGGGGAAGGTGGGTTGTGTGGATTACGGGCTATTCATGTCCGTGCCACCTCTTGGGAGACTTAATTTTCATCAATCAATCAATCGGTTGTGTGGAGTGGTGGGGGAAGGGAGTGGTGAAGAGGTGATTGACATACTGTGCCTGTATTCAGTGACAAGGAAGTGGATGAAGCAGAGAAGTAGCTTGTAATTCCGTGAAGTGGTTTCAGGAAATGTGCAGGTGGGCATGAAGCAGATTTAGATGGTCAGATATTGTTAGTGGAGTGAAGCGAGATCAGGTAGCACGAATCGGGTTCAAGTGGCATGAATCATGTGTGTGCAACATTGCAGGGAGAGAGCGACATCGATCAGCTGTGTGTGGTGCTGCAGATCCTGGGAACCCCTAGCGAAGCCACCTGGCCTGGCCTGTCCGACCTCCCTGACTACAAGAAGATCACCTTCCCTGAATCCAAGCCCATTCCCTTAGAGCAGGTGAGTCCATCAGAGTTCAAGCCTATTTCAACAGAGCAAATAAGTCCATCAGTCCATATTGAGCACAAATTTATCTATTGGATAGACTTATGCTCATAAGTTAGATAAATCCTTTCTTTCAACTGCAGTATAGGCCCGACCTAATTCCAGTAAAGTCTTGGATACTGTAGATAAAATTTAACATAAATACAATATACAACTAAATTGTTTATATGAAATAGTTGTCAAAAATGTATTTATTTCTAAATTCTATCAGATGATGGGAAGGACGAGCCAGGTGTGGTAGACTGTGTCAGCAATATTGCCAATTAGCGCGCATTATGCGCCAACAATGGATTTGATGAATGGAAAAAAATCTTGTTATTTGTGATGTCATTAATCTGGTGACGATTTTTGTTGTCATTTGAATTATCTTTTGCCAGTTAACGAATAGACAAATTGATAAGTTAACAACAGAGGATGATACGCTGCGTTGACGAGGTTTTCCGTCCTGTCTGTATAGTTGAGTCAGTGGGAGAGAGCTCGATAACACCCCCTTCACTATCACGCTCATAGTGTCAGGCTTCCTGTTCGTCACTCATCAGTGGAAAGACATTATTAGGAAGCGTAAACATGGCAGCACGTGACCTGAACGTTCCATGAGCTGGCTGTCGTAGGCAAGGCTGTACTGCATGCACCCACTTTAACACGCATACATGTACCTGCAATAGGTATGAGACGGGGCTCTTGAGCTAAATCTGGCTCCCTGTACATATAACTAGGTAAGCAGACATCTACTCGTAAAACAGGTCAAGTTTCTCTCCAAACATTAGCACGAAAGGAAGGTAAATCAACTTTGATATTTTGGCTATTTTGATATTCAGTGTGTTGCTCCTGTCGCAGCTACGTTTGTTGCTACTGATTCTCTTTTATAGGGATTCAAGACTAAATATAATTATCCACCTTGACCGTCTCCCAGGTATTGCCAGATGCTCCACCTGATGCCATGGATCTTGTGAAGAAATTCCTCGTCTATAGTTCCAGCAAGAGAATATCAGCCAGGAAGGTATATCGCCTATTTTTCCGTACTAAGTGTTCACAATCTTTACTTATCAGGAGAATGTCTGTGTCCAAAGTTAGAGGCCAGACGCTTGAAGCTAGCCTCATCCAAATTAGCAGAGGAGAATGGTCTAGGGTATTAAAAAAAAAAAGCACTGAGCCTACGGTTGTATAAGCGGTGTTATTTTCGCCAATTGAAAGAGTAGGCCTATATTAGTTGACTTGAAGGACTACGTCAATGTTTGGTAATTAGCTGCTAGTGGGGAACACTAAGGTACAGCCTTTTCCTGTTTGAAGGATTTAGCTCACAAATGAAGGATTTAGCTCATAAATGTTACCGCATGTGAAGCCTCATGTTTTATATTTTCTATCATATAAAGTCTGTTTATTCATAGTATATTACACATAGATCCTTTGTGTAACTCAATTTATCTCGACATTTTATGTTCAAAGTAAAATTCCCCCACTCTCCTTTTAACTAACTAGGATTTTCCAGCGGAACATATAGGTACAACTTTAAGTTACGACATCTCTTTAAATATATCTTTCTGTCTTGAAGGAAAGAATAATGTATAATCTGGAATTCTAGACTGTGTTTAACATCAGCTTAGAATATATCTCTCGTCCTCCACCATTCCATCACCCCTCACTGGATGGATATGGATGGCAGACTGATTAAGCTTCCCCTAGTGCCAGGATCTCTATAAAATACACAGTAAACTAACTGACTTGAATTGTAAACACAATTGACTTGAGAATGGTCCAGGACGGACCGAAACGTCGTCGTCCCTTCACCTTCTAGTGTGTGGTCTGGTCAACAGTAAACTAACTCTTTCCGAGGTTAGATAAAACAGTGTACTGAAGTTAGTTAACACTCCAAAATGATAGTATTGCCTACAATTAGTAACAGTACTGTCCCTTCCACAGGCGCTGCTCCACCAGTACTTCTTCACGGCGCCAGTGGCCGCCCCACTCAGCCAGATGCCTGTGCCGCCCCTGGAGAAGCAGCAACCACCCGCCACTAACGACTACGTCACAGACTTTCCGCTACATCAGATCACTGACGTCATCCATGATTATCTCCACTCACTCTACGTGAAGGGTTAACCTCGTCCTCGTCTACAGTCACCACCACCATACATGAAAAGCCGAATATCTTTTTTTACCTTTGTCCATTTCTACCGGCATCTTTATATACACCAAAGGGTAACCTCAACCTTCTAAAAGTGTTACTTTTTTTTACGTAAAAACACTGTTCCAGTATTTTTGGTATTAATTATTTTGTAACAACAGTTTACTTTATGGCGGATTTAAGAGGTTACTGATTATATCGTGAATTTTAATTTGGCTATGGACAATGTTTGGCGAGCACGTAGCTAACTGAAAAATGATAATAGCCGTGTTTTAATGACACTTATCTTCACGGTGTGCTGAACTATCTACTACTGTTTTGTATTTATTCTATTATATAATGTTTGTTGACGCCGGAAGCGGCTAGTTTATTTTGCATCCATACAATCCTGTTCTCCAAGCGACATACATTTTTGCTGATGGATTGGTATATTTGCAGTCTATCGCCGATTAATAATATTTCTTTGTAATAATAGACTAATATTGACGTCTTTGGAATTTACCTTTGTGTGTTTAGCAATAATATTATTATTATTTATGTGAAGGTTTGGAAGCTATATTTAAGGACTTACAAATTTCACCACCGAATCGAGTGCTGTGTATACTGTACTAATTTATTCTCATGGGAACTTTTTATGTATTTTACATGAATTTTTGTTTAATAAACTTTAAAATATTAAATTCTAGTATGTAAACCTCTTCATACGAATGTACACACGGTCTGCCCTTTTGTTATGTAAGCCACTGCTGGATCAAGCCAACTGTGACTACTTGTGAATGACAGGTAAAGCCCGTTGACTTTTCAAGACTAGTCGTTGCGTTAATTGGATACCTATCAATGTAAGTGAAATATGTAAATACATGTATCTCATTGGCTTTGAGTCAAAGACTCTTATGACTATATTACATGCCCTAATGATCTATTTTTCATAACTGGACGCATTTAAATATCAATATTATCAGGGGGCCCAAAGCATACTGATATATATATCTTTGCTTGCTAATTAATCTTGGTTGCAGTGTTCATCATCAGTGATCATAATCATAATCTAGAGTATTAAGTGATAACACTAATAGATGAAAACACTCAAACAATAACAGAGTAAGGGGGGACAAATATATTGCTAATAGTAGAGGGGCCCTGTTGATACAGCTAAGGAGGAGTCACTGAAAACACCCATGGTCTTAGGAAGCGGCAGGGTGTGGTCGGGGACGACTGCTGGAGTGTTCTCTGTACTCACCTAGTTTTGCTTGCGGGGGTTGAGTTTTGGCTCCAGCTCTGTGCACCACCACATGCTGGAGTGTGGCGATGCAAGTTCTCTGTGACGCTGGAGTGTGGTGGTGCAAGTTCTATGATGCCGGAGTGTGGTGGTGCAAGTTCTGTGAAGCTGGAGTGTGGTGGTGCAAGTTCTGTGATGCCGGAGTGTGGTGGTGCAAGTTCTCTGTGACGCTGGAGTGTGGTGGTGCAAGTTCTATGATGCCGGAGTGTGGTGGTGCAAGTTCTGTGACGCTGGAGTGTGGTGGTGCAAGTTCTATGATGCCGGAGTGTGGTGGTGCAAGTTCTGTGACGCTGGAGTGTGGTGGTGCAAGTTCTATGATGCCGGAGTGTGGTGGTGCAAGTTCTCTGTGACGCTGGAATGTGGTGGTGCACGTTCTCTGTGATGCCGGAGTGTGGCGGTGCAAGTTCTCTGTGACGCTGAAGTGCGGTGGTGCAAATTCTGTGATGCTAGAGTGTGTTGGTGCTGGTTCTCTGTGACGGTAGAGTTTGGTTGTGCTGGTTCTCCGAGATAGTGAAATGTGGTGGTACAGTACACTCAGGCATACATCAAAGATAGTACAGTAATATACATGGAAAATTTCGCTTCGCAACCCATCCTCCTGTTTCGATGGTACCTATTGTAATGGTCGTCAACAGTCACGAATTCGTACGTACTTAGCTTTTAGATAGTAGTATACCGACTTGTAAGGATTTTTTTTAAATAAATGAAGCTTAAACACAAATTTAAATATTCCTAGGCCTATTAAAGCACACACATGTACTGTATTAGGCCTCAGATATCGTGTATTATGCCTTGGGAGGTTAGGTTAGTTTGTCAAAGAAGCAAGTAAAAAAAATAGTTTTCCGGTTTGTCCAAATTAATAGTTCAGATTTCTACTTTCTAATTTCGTTGTACAAATGTATATATATACTATGGTCCTCATCGTTACTGTAAGTACTATCAAAACAGGAGGAATGAGCTATCTTCTGGTACATTCAGCCCTTGGGAACTTGCCAACTGCTTGTGACTTATTCCTTTACAACTCGTCAACAGTGGTGTAATTATCACATATTTCATTGTTGTCAACGTGCAACTATAGCTTATTATTCCCCTAGCATACAATATAGCAGCAGTAACCTACATTGTTGGCTGGAAACAGGTGTGTGTATCCAGGGCCACACCCATCACAACAAGGGCAAGTGGCAGAATGCCAAATTCACGGTTGCAGATTGAAGACTAAAGCTGTGTCTTTAGATACTTTGGAACTAAACTCTAACGCTGTCTTTAAGCCATCACATTTGCAACTTCTAGATATTAAGGAACCTGTCATCCAATAACGACGGTACTTTACCTGTAGTTACTGTGAATGGTAATACTAACTAAATATACCTGCCCGAAACGCTGCGCGTACTAGTGGCTTTACAAGATTGTAAAGCCACACCAATGTACCTTCTTGTATATAAATAAATAAATAAATACAAAGTATGGATGGGTACACCCAAAAGCGTCCACATTTTTAACTAAAATTTTTTGTAGAGGGTCCGAGAAAGATGGCACAACTAAATAAAAGGTTCAATAGGCTTTGCATAGTATATATCTGCATTAAATTAGATCAGCTGTAGTCACACAAGGATTGATTATATCTAGGAAAGGTTAGGTTACGTTTATCGTTTGTAAAATATGGACTTTTTATGTATACAAGTCCAAATTTTGTACATTCCATCTACAATAGCATAGAGTCTATACCAGTTTTGGAGGATGATACATATCTGATCCCAAAACTGTAAAGATAACACACTACTCGAGGCAAATACAACATTATTCTTGCTCAATTAATATAGTTGGCAGAAAAAGTTAATTATTCAGTTTAAAATGGTAATTATATCAGACGAATTTAGTTACTAGAATTTGTTTAAGCTTTTCGATCCGAGTGTATCAGACATAATGTATAGTTATAAAATGAAAAATGTATTGAAGGAATTGTCCTAAAACTAATATTATATTCATTTTCATTCCCTTTAATAACAACAACAACAGGACGGAAATATACCTAATTGTTGTTATATACATACAATTTAAGAAAGGAAGTTACACAATCACAACATATACCCAAGTGAGCGAAAAATACAAGTATATAAAAATATGAACCAGCAGAAAATGAGATTGAAAACAAACTTGGATGTTCACCAACTAAAAAAATATAAACAATTATATAACATTTAAAAAAATAATTCATGTTAAAATACTTAGATTTATTACAAAATAATATCTGAAATAAATGTGCTATGCAATACTTTCACATTAGTAGATGACCATAGACTGAATAAATAACTAATTTATTCTTACCAAAATAAAACTATCGTTACAATAGTTTTGTTTATAAATACCTTGGTAAATTGAAAATCTAATGACACTGTCGACGAATCGGACACTGGATCCATATTGTCTTGAGACATACGGACACATTAATTTCCAAAACAGTTATGTCCGTTTAAGACCTCCGTGGTTCCTGCGACAATGTCCAAGCTTATCTCTGTGTAACATTATAAGACTTTCAAGAAATAAAGCCCACGGTTTCTTGGAACAACTGACACAGAAACTGGGGCCTTACCGCTGAGTGGACAGCGCTAGGGATTCGTAGTCCTGTGGTCCGGGGATCCATCCCTGGCAATGGCGGAAACAAATGGGCAGAGTTTCTTTCACCCTGATGCCCATGTTCACCTTCCTGGGAGCTAGACAGCTGCTACAGGTTGCTTCATGTGAGTATGGGAGTGTGTGGGGAAAAAAAAAAGTTGATTGACAGTTGAGAGGTGGGGCGAAAGAGCCAGGGCTCAACCCCCGCAAGCACAACTAGGCGAGTACAGAACAATATAGTGTGTTCCAGTCAGCATACAGTTACATCCACAGCTTCACAAAATGCCAAAAACTACGCGAGACCTCTTTTGGTCAGCATTTCACAATATAAGCGGATTACCGTGTTAACACAGACTAAATTATATATGACCACTAGAAGTAGAGGAAATGTAGATGTTTATCTCTCCGAATGTTTGGTAATATGTTTATTGTTTGTGATGTGTGTATATGTATGTATTAACACGATGTACTGAACGGGGTGAGAATAGCTTGAGCTACCTCATCCCTTTGTGTGTATTTTACCTCAATAAACTTATTTCAATTTCAACTATAAGTATATTTGCTAGCTACAGTAAATCATGCAATACAGTTATGACATGACAAAACAATAAGAACAAAATATTCGTCTATAATACGTTACAGTTAAGCCTTTGGCTGCGGAATACATGCATCAATTGATGTATCACAGAAGGGAGGTCACTCCGGCTTTCGTCAGTCAGCGATAGCGCTAGTAGGAAATCAATATAATTGATTTTGCTTATTAATTAATAAAACATGCAAATACCCGACATAGATGGCTAATACACTTTAATAGACGTCAATACATAAAAAGCCATTAATCAGATCTTTGGCGTTTATGAAATCATCACTCACAAAAAGATACACCGACCCACATTTGATAATTTTTCTTAAGTTATCTCTGCCAACATTGCAAATTTTCATCATAATACCAAAATAAGACAAATTAAGGGATAACTTTACTGCCTTCACAGGAACCCTGTTAATTAAGCATATTCCTCACAAGTGTAAATAATGTATACTAATCATACAAAAGGCAGTTCTCATGAAGTATTATGAAGACACCAGGCAAAGTATACAGATATAACGTAATATGTGCAACTAATCAGGCACATGTATAGAATCGACTTGAGAATGGTCCAGGACGGACCGAAACGTCGTCGTCCCTTCACCTTCTAGTGTGTGGTCTGGTCATGGACTCGGGAACGAATGGATACCGTGACAAACTTAAGTCACAGTCTCAATGTTTACTAATAAATAAGATTTCTAATAACGTTGCGTCATGATTGTCCACCACCGCTCACAGGATAGTTTAGTTCATTATGCACAGCATACCTATCAAATAGACCAAATGTATAAATGATATATACAGTGTACACACCCCAACAGTGCTTATTTTACTATCACAGTAAATTACAAAATAAAAAGTACTCCACGGGAACAAATTTGCAATGTATATTAAGTTAACATATATGCAATGAGCGGGAGGAGTGCTTGACGAGCAGCACACAGTTGTCGAGGGAGTGTCCAGTGTAGCACCGAGTGTGTGTTTCAAGAGTAGAAGGTAAGAACTGAGGACTGATTGCCACGGAGGAGGAGGAAGGGCGGCATCTGGTGTGTGAGGGTTTCCAACCAAGCCATGTAGAGTGGCGCCGACACCGTCCCCACAGCAGGCATGGGCAGGGTCCTGTCAACCACATACACGTTAATGTCTCACTCATATTTAGAGATGGCAACCTTATCTGCTAGTCCACCTTTCATATTTAAAATCCATATTTTTATATCTGCATCCATGACAGCCATATTTCACTACCACAGTAGGCATCTTGTATTTGTTCAAGGACTACTAACTTCGCGGTTCTTCTCCACACCAGCGTTCTTCTAATCCGTGAGTTCTCTCACTTCATCATTCAGCTGCTTCTGTGTTTGCCATCATTCTACTGGGATAGTTAATGTATTGAACATGGCTTGTGGCCAGATAGCCAGTGCACTGGGGGTAGCCTTGTGGCCAGATAACCAAAGTATTGGGCGTGGCCTTGTGGCCAGATGCTAGTGTATTGGCCGTAGCCTTGTGGCCAGATGCCAGTGTATTGGCCGTAGCCTTGTGGCCAGATGCTAGTGTATTGGCCGTAGTCTTGTAGCCAGATAGTCAGTGTATTGAGCGTAGTCTTGTGGCCAGATAAAGACTGCATGCGTACAGCCTAGTGGTGAAATAGCCAGGCGAGCGTAACCCTGTGGCCAGATAATCAAAGCTGTGAACATAGCCTTGTATCCAGATAGCCAGTGTATTGTGAGCAGCGTTACATCCAGATAGCCAGTGTAATGATACCAACCTTGTAGACTCCCTTACCCCCCTCTACGCCCGTCGTTCCATCACCCTCTCCCTCTCACTTGCCCCAAACAGTCCAACTACAATACAATACTAAGAACCAAACACTTTCCCAACTCACATAACAATGAAGGAGGCATCTCTTGAGTGTTCCAGCAGCAGCTCCCTCAGACGGATGTGGCGGTTGGTCTTGTCCTTCAGAGCTACTAACTCTGACTCCGTGATCCCCTCCGAGGCTTTGACTGAGGACAAAAATATCTTTAATAAAATATAAGGCTTTGGAAGTGAAGGAGATGGTTATGTCATCGATTCGTACACTAATTATCTGTTAATAATAATGTGCACATAGCGACATCTATATTATAAAATTAAATAAAAGACCACAAAATTTACCTAGAAAATACTAGCTCGTAAATGTTAATATGTGATTACTTGGTATTTAGTATATGGCTATAATATTAAAGGAAACTTCGGAAGGCCTATTGGCCCTTACAAGGCTGATCCTATTTTTATCAACCCAATCTCATTCTCACACACACACACACACACACACACACACACACACACACACACACACACACACATATATAGTTTAACCTATGCATGAAACAATTGAACTAAAAGAACTGCAGTATTTGATTATCAATGCCTTCTCTCCCAAATCTATTAACTGAAACACCTTGATTAATATGAAGCGAGTTACAGCAAATAAATAAGTTACAAACTCTTTAGTGTTTATATTAATTAAAATGTCAAAAGATATTCTCTCGTGAGAAAATGTATCATTTCCGACTTGTACAAATATTGAATATACTTAAGTATAAAATCATAAATATATACTTATATACATAAATATATAAATATATACACAAATAAATACTTAAATATAAAATCAAGCACGAAGATCATACAAATGTAACTCAAGCATGATTAGAAGTACCGGTATTATATCTTCAAAGTCTTAGTTCAGGCTTTGCTAGAAAAATATTATTAAACACACCTCCACCCTCTTCCTCTGACGGCACCTTGAAGCTGCTGATGAGGTTATTGAAATCCCTCACAGACTCCTCACTGGGCCGCCGTGTGACACCAGGCACCATCACCACATCTGAGAAGTCAATTCGGAACTTGCACAGCAGCTCAATCATCCGTCGGTGTTCAGAGGCCAGGTCATCCTACACAAGATAGAAGTTAATAGTTATCAAATGAGCGATGATAGGCTGTACAACTTCCTATGTCAGAGTTTGGCTATTGATCACTTTAAGAAGCTTCTTGTTAATGCTGTGCTGATAACTTATTTCAAGTCAAGTAAGATGTGTAATTGAATTTGGAAGATTTGAGATCACTTACTTGATTTCAATTTTTTTAATTTCGTGAGAACTTCCCTCGTTATACATTTGTGACTTTAAAATGCTTTCACCCTCGAGACATAACAGGAAACTAGCACTACACCACCAGACTTAAAACACTCATTAAATGAAACTGAAGATATATAACTATGATGAGAACTATTAAGTAAAACTGAAATTCAAACTTCTGATTGTTGAAAATACTGTAATGCTGAGAACCAAGCAGGTTTAGACTCATGATATCTAAAACTAGGGTATAAAACTGAAATAAAAGTTTGTTACCTTCTTGTTAGCTAGACAGAAGACCCTCAGTTTGCAGGAGGACCAGGCTGCTCGGGTAGTAAGGATGTAAGGGATCAACATAGTCAGACCTGAGGCGATGGATCAGGATGGTAATTTGTTGGTTATGAAATATAGGCAATGAGTTACAGAAAATTAAAACTAGTTATCATCAGCTCTTTGACATTAATTTATTGAACAATTAAAAACCTTATTAGAAATTTTATTATTTGCTACAGAAATTTTTTTTCAGTTTAAACATCGTTTCTAGAAAATAGCCTAGTCTGTATTGCAATACCATGTTTTCAGCGCTGTGATAGAGAAAATGTAAATTGCAATTCTTTAAGATGTACATGGATAACTGTTAAATACCACGTGGAGGGTTTCCCACTGTCAGGGACTGGAAGCCGCTTATGTTTATCGAGGTCCCCATAATCCCACGAGTGACTTCAGTTCCCAGGATACAACCACAACAGTTGACTAGCTCCATTGAACCTATTTACTGCTAGGTGAACAGGTGCATCATACGTAAGGAAATGTGCCCAAGCGTTTTGCTCTGGCCAGAAATAAAACTGTGGTTCAATCCATGTGTGATGACTGCGTTACAGAGGTTATCGTACTAAAATAGCTACAGTACATATGCATAACAATTTAACAGTGTTGTCAAGACACTTAAGCTCTCGACATGGTACGATGTAAAGCATGAGCATGTATGCATAAAGCCTTGAGCATGTATGCACTTATACATAAAGTCTAAATAACATACCAAAACCAACCTGGGTTGGGTTGGGAGGGTTAAGAGCGCGTTCAAAGAGAGCTCCCGCGTTACAAGATAAGTTGGGTCACCACGTTAACATGCTATCAAATCAAATGTTTAAATCATATGTTTATTTAGGTAAGGTACATACATACAAGAGATTTTACAAGTAGTGATGGATTTATAGATAGGGCTAGTACATACAATGCCTAAAGCCACTATTACGCAAACCGTTTCGGGCACCATTCGGGCACCTATCAGGACCCAACTGTAACAAGTTCCACGAGGTGGCCACTTACCTCCATCATCGTAGATCCACCACACATCAATAGTTCCCTTGGGCTGTTTACGAGTGAAGCGAAGCATATTATCCACTACCTGCGGTGCAACTATCTTGCCATTGGGCAGGCGGTACATGGGATCTTTCTTCTTGCCTATCCTCATATCTTTTTTCTTGCATATCTTCTTACCCTCTTGGAATGGTGCAACGTTGATGTTCCCTCCAACAGCAGGTGCTTTAAAATAAACAATCAGAATCATATGCCACAAATCTTCAAGACACGTGAACTTTGATGCGCTCACATTTCAAGAGTGAAATATTTAAACACATGTGTGTTAATTACAGCCGGTCAAGAGGAGTATCTCCAGGTCGTCATATCTCAGGACACGAGTTTTATCACTTTACATCGACAGACTGTGAGGCAAGCCAATTATCAGAACAACCCCTAAACCATTTCGACTATATAGCAGTCAAACTGTGATTTTTTTAGTAGACTGAGTCAGATAAAGGTAAAGAACATTAGAGAAGTGAATAATATGGATGGACATCAACACTATCAATAAATCAGTGTAGTAAAATATTTGAGTCAGTGAATAATAATCACAATTTAGTGAAAAGCGCAAACATGGTAACTCTGAGGAGACTTATTTTTTCCGAACATAATACCATATTTCAAGTTTCACTTGCCATGGTTTGTAAGAAATCATTACGATTCAGTATAAACAAATCATATAAATCATTGCTGACAAGTTCATTTTAGTAATGTACTTGTTCGTGTTCATATCGTCTATGAAAATGAAAATTAAAATTTGTACCGAGTTATGTTCAAACATGGCTTAATTACAAAAACTTTGGTACACAAGTTTACAATACCAGAATGAAGATCGGCTGCATTTTGGTAGTGATCAAGGCTGACTGCAGACACAGACGTGGGTAAAGCCGAAGCATTGAGGTCGGGAATGTTGGGAACACTGGAGGAGGTAGGGTTGGCAGAGGCATTAGCATTGTAGTTGGCATCATATTCATCTTGTGGCACTTCTGTCAGGTCAGAGTAGTCAAGGCCACCCTCCACACACAAGATCCCAACTGCCAGATGCAAGCTGAAGGCATAACTGTAGGGACGTAGCAGCTATGAATGTCAGAATTACAAGTAAAAACAGAGCGTTTTCGACAGGGTTACATTTTTTTTATAGTAACTACTAGATAAATTACATTGAACTTTGGACAACAGTGACAACTTAATCAGGCATTATTAGTATAATAATCTTGAGTCTAACACTCACTGGATGGTCTTGAAATAACTTTGTAGTTCCTCAGCTGGGCATGTCTGCCAGTTGGACTTGTAACCCATGAGGACTAAATTGGGTCGTATTTTACCAAGTCCCACATTACACATGAGTATCCTGGCAGCGAACTCCATAGAGGGGCCGTCAGCAATGGTGTGGAAGGCCTTCACCTTGTGTCGATACAACCAGCTAGTAGCTTCTGCTACCAGTTTCTCTCGCAACATCTGTGGCTGCTGTTCCTGTGGTTATGAAGTAAATTGCCAACTTTCAAACTATTATAATTTTGTGGTCATCTACATAACTATTTATCTACCCAGTGATCATGAAAATAACAACTTTCGTGCAAATTACTTTAAAACAATGTCCAGTGACCAGGAGGGACATGTTCTTCGTGATGGAGTGTGCAAAGTGGACAAGAGGCGGCCTGGAGGAGGGCACTCCGCTCAACACCAGGATCTGGGGACGGTAAGTCTTGATATGCTCCTCCATCTGATTTAGAGATGTGGCGGAACTCAAGGCCAGAGTGTACATCTGAGCCTGTGTTGATGACCCCCAGTTTACATCTGGAAGACAAACCCATTTAGTTAACATTAAACCAGGTTGTATTGCTCCTGTGTTCTTATATCTCGCCCTCATGTCATTATATTTTACTACTGTAGACTAACTGAAAAATGTGCCATTATTATAAGCATAACAACTATTCAGGCCAGACTTATCTTCAAGAGGCTGACCGCAAACAGTCAATAATCATTACTTAAAACAATTGGGTATATTTTTACACTTAAATGTTAGTAATTTCTGTGCTATGTGCATCAGAATCTGAACATCCACATCTGAATCTGAACATAAAACATTTTAACTTAAATATTTCCATAGCAAATTTTGGTTTTTAAAATGCGAAGTGTCACCTAGCTGTCCCCAAAAATGTTCCATGACAATACTCATACTGTATTTATTTAACGTTCTTAAAATGTGTGTATTCTCAGTTATTTTGGCAAAAATCTTTCACTACTAAATATTTGCAATACCCTATATAGTGTATTTACTGTCGTTATATAATCGTATCCTTATATAAGTATCGACGATATATTACGTTGATACATAATCGACGTTATATAATCGTTATATAAGTATCGATGTTATATAATATAACGTCGATGTACAGTACCAGAATTCGCCTAGACATCATTAGTCTTAGATGGTCTTAACTTCAGTTTCGCGTATCATCTGCGATATATATTTCATACATTTGATTTCCCTTGCTGTGGAATCAAACTTTTGTTCCACACTTGGATACAAAATTATGTGAACTTTCCACGAAGTTCTCGACTTCGTAGAGAGTTCTGCCCCAAAACACGGGGTAATAGTTTTATCATTATTGTAGTGCTTTTACATTACTGTGTTCATTAACACTATGCTAAATACTTATACAACATTCATGAAGTACTGTACATGTACACCAATGCAACATTTCATCTTGAACTATTATAATTTAATGCTACATAGGCAGATTATATATTACATTTTAACCTAGTAAATAGAATAGGTGCCAAATGTACGATTGTATAATTATATTATGATTGTGAAATGAAACAGCTTGGGTTTAACAGATGTTTCAGGTGATAAAGGCATAAAGTGATATCCACTAGACTAAGAGCAAGTAAGGATTTCGACAGAACTCTTAGCCCTCAACACTGAAAATATTAAGTAGCCAGATGCAACATTTGTCATGATAGGAGAAAGATAATGAAGATAAAAAGAAGTAAGAGAAAAACCAGGTTGAAAGCTAGGAAAGAAAAGAATAAAACCATGGTAGAGAGAAGGGAAAGAAAGAAGGTAAATACATATAAATGGAAAGGATAGAGAAGAACTCGACCGAAGGGAGATGATCACCTGGCTTTCTGTAGGACACAATGATGTAAAGGATGATGATGATGACGACAGTGATGAGTGCTGTGTACCACTGGATGAGGAACATGATGGCTGTACACAACAGTCCCCCAACCAGACTCAGCCACTTGTTATAGTACTGCAATGCACAAATATATTAATATACCACTGGATCAATCACACACTACGAACAAAAAGGTCATTATACGTCAGTTATTTTACAATTCCTGTTACAAAGTAAATAAATAACAGTTACAGTACATTTAATGTTTGTTCAAAACTGAATCAGGCCAAAAAACAAATTGATGTAAGGCGTTCCACTCATATACTAATCTTCAACTAATTTAAGTCATTCTCAAAGTGACTTGACAACATTTAGTCAATCCAGATTAATGATGGACAAATGAAGACAAGACAAATCCCATATCTCACTTTATGTGATTTGAACTTTGTTAGCAAGACAAATGTTACTACAATGTAGCACAAAACTGTACTGATTTTTCTTTTTAGCTAACCATTAATGCTTGATGACCCTAACAATTAATTCGAATTAAAACACACACAGTGGAGCTTCCTTCCAATAAAAAAATACAGAGTTGAAACTCTTCTGGAGAGGTTTTAAAAAACATAAAAACTGCATCTAAGCCACCGAGGGGAGGGTTATCCAGTCCATTTTTCCGGAAGTTGGCGAGTTTGGCCCGAAAACATTCCAATAGAAACAAAATAATGATACCGGAAAGATTCTTTTAAATTAACTGAAGGCTACCAGGTGTTCCAACAGTTTCACACACCAGAGGGAAACGAAGAACACCAGTAGCTCCACAAAAATGAACATTGTATTTTATGGGCTTTTCTTCCATTAAGTATTTAGCATTTTAATTGAACAAAACATCCACACCGTATTACTCGAACCATTGAAAATACCTTTTTGCATTACATAATCTTTAATAAGGAAGCGACAAAAATAAATAATTAAAAGTTCGTACAGTAGGGTTTAAACCAAAACTATTTGACGAGTCCCTCCCAAATGGTATAGAATTATACTGTACTCTAATGTGTTGTATTATCAAAATCAATACAAGATGATGGAACAAACCTTGAAGGTGGGTCTCCAGCTGGGGATGTGCTGTAGGGAGGCATGGAAGGTGGAGAAGTTGATGAGGGCGTAGGCGGCCAGGAAGAAGTTGGTGATGATGGGAGCAATTGCGTCGAGGCGAGCTGATAAGGGGAAGGGAGAGAAGGCACCCGATTAATGGACTGTGGTCACTGTTGAATTATTCACTATTAATATACCTTTATGACAAACTTAGCCATGGTCTCAATATTCACATTTATCACAAACTTAGATACAGTCTTTCATATTTCTAAAAAGCTGGAGCCACACCACTTGTATGAAACACCGTGCATACCATTAAAAAATATCCTTATAGTAAGTAGCCTTAATACTGAGTATATAAATTGTCACTGCCCACTGTTCATTTTGCAACTATGGATAAATACAACAGTCCCCTCCCCCTCTGAATACTAGGGTGATACAGATTCCCACACCACAATTCCCCAGGTCCGACAACTTGGCAGCCTAATAATTCAATTTCTTTCTTTATTATGCACCCCATACCCATCCCGTGGGCCTACCTATGAGAGTAAAGACCAGCACGATGACGAAAGTGAGGACGTAGCCTCGGTAAGGCTGTTCGCCCTTACCGTAGCCTTTAGCGAAGAACTCGATGAATGGGTAAAGCTTATCCTTACACATGGCCTGCAAGAAAAAATTTTTGTGTCTCCATGGATATGTGTGGAAATTCAATGAACACATAACAAAAATAACAAATCCCAATATAATATGCATGAACCGAAAATCTATTACAGTAGTTATTTTATCCATCAGACTCTCTAGATTTACATTTTTTATATCTTATTTGTAAAGCTGAAATGCCTCAATTTTGCTTTACTGCAGTAATTATTACTTATATAATATTGATAATATGTTTTGTATATGAAGTGTGCCGAGCTCCAAGAGATATTCTTATTGTGTGTATTTATACGAGTGAAATAAGTGGACATGAAGCAAAATAAGCTGAATGCTGCATTCTGCATGTTCATGTTTTACATAGGTTCCCTTGTATTTTTTTCGGGGGTGTGTGAGGGGAATGTCTTAAAAAAAAAGTCTCTGTATGGGTCTGAGAGTGAAGTGTGTATAGAAGAGGAATAGGAGAAAGGAGACCCCCCCCCCCGAGCAAGCACGATAGGTGTTTTTTTATTAGATTATAAGTCGGCCCGTCCTCTCGAGTTGCCACGTCACAAATATGTCTTAAACTGCAGGAATTTAACAACCGATGAACCCACGCAGAGAAAAAGTGGTGCTTGTGAGCCACTATGATATATTGTACATCATATTTCGTCCGTTTGGGATTTTGATGTCAAAATGCTATGTTTATTATTCGAGATGAAAGGTTGTATAACTCAACAACCCACGGCATAGTTTGTTTGCTTACACTGCAGTGTATTATAGGCTTATTCCATGTGTGGAATTTCAGAGTATAGGTAGGAGAGGATCCCTTCCCTCTCCACACTTATGTGGAGGGGTGGACCTGCTGCATGGGTGACAGCTTCTTCCTCGTATCAACCTACCCTGGCTTTGCACCCTGAGGAGGCCACTCCAGACCGACAACCAGAGCGCAACTCCATAGTCTCCCGAGACTGATGGATGCCTACTACTATTAGATCAGAGCTAGCTATAAGTTCATTTAATATGAACAACTTATCTCACAGACTGGTTAGTCATGCATGGAATCAAGAGAACATGAGATGAGAGTCTAGTCTACAAACCTGCATTATCAAACTTAGGGTAGATTATGAAAATCTTTTTCAATATCCCCGAATGAATTAAATACTGTAATTACGGAGCATCTCATGCCATTTGGTCTAAAATCATTTATAACTCTGCATTTGCCCACGACTTCGTGACACCCGTCGCCAATTCACGAGTTTTGGGATAATTGTGAGGGACACGTTGTTTGCAGGGACAAAATGTATAGGTATGTAGCAGACGTCTAAGTCATGCTCAGTTGCTAATGATTCGCCCGTATTCAGTGAGGAAGAAATGTTCCTGTTGGGAAATGTCTTTATTTAAAATCCAGCTCAAAAGTGACTAGGAAAGTGAAATTTCTGTGTCGATTTTATGGAACAAAGTTTGCTTTCATTTATTGTGATTGAGTTGTAGTATGTAAAGCCATATTTTTCATGTTTTATTATTGAAGAAAATGTATATAATAGGCTATACTTATATCGGTTTACACAGAAGAGGGTGCAGTACATTACCTGGAAAACTTTGGGTGCCGAGACAATGGAGGCCAGAGCAGAGGAGATGGTGGCAGCAAAGCAACCAGCATAGATCAGTGGGCCGAAGATGGACACCAGCTCCATTACCTGAAGGGGTCAGTTATATTCTAATACTGTCAATTAAAATGGAGAGATGATGAATACATTGACAGAGAATGGATGTGTGGGGAAGGCATCATTACACGGAATGTAGACAAGTGGCAGTCAATACTATAATTTCATGCAAGTGACAATGTATGAAATGTACAATGTATAATTTCTATACAAAAAATAAGTTTACGTGCATCATTTTCTAACCCGATTCATCATGAAGGTAGATTATAGTGCGAGAAACAACAGAACTGGAAACATAAGAAATCGATTATAACATTAATACAAGATTTTAACGACTAGTAAGTGTCATTGTAGAGTACGAACACTGCAGTAGATGACAGTATGCTAGCGACGTACCTGAGAGCTGTTGAGAAGACCATATTCACAGACAGTGTCTGTACAATTGGTGAAAGACCAGTCTGCTATTTGAGTGACATTGCCAGTGGCATCCCTCACCGCCACAGCCCCAGCCAACACCACAATACACATGTAGGATATGTAGGTGATTATTATGGCCAGAATCGTACCCTTGGGGATGGCTGCTGATGGGTCCTGATGATCCATGTAAATTAATTAACAAATTCTTGAAGATTAAACAAATACATGAACACTGTGGCTGCCTAATGATATAATTTTAATTTCCTAATTGACTTGAGATATTTTTTATTTCAAGAACTTAATTGCCACAAATCCCAAGTAACTAAATGATTTAACATTGCACTCAGTGGCTAGTTTCTTATTTCCTAATACACTATTATTAACGTGTTAACTCATTAATATATATAATGTTAAATTAATGCATATTCCAACATTTATATTTCTGTATTTTGGTTCAGTGGTGTAAATTTTACAGTAATAATATTTGATAAAAGAATATACCGTACATAAATGTTTACATTTATTTTTAAATTATGTTTCCCAAATTAGAAAGGATATACAGACACCGCTGAATTATTTCAGGTACTCATATATGACTAAAAAGTTGCAACACATCTTAGTCCTGACCACTCTTCCTTGTACATACCTTCAGGTCACCAGAGATGTTGGCACCAGCCAGGATGCCGGTACAGGCAGGGAAGAAAACACTGAAGACACCAAAGAATCCCATGTTGCCTTCCTCCCCACTCTGGGCTCCCTCATCACGGTAGTCAGAGTAGAGGTTGTTGGACAGCACCGTCCCTGCAGCGAGAAGTACAAGGCATTGAGCATTGGTAAGGGCTCTTGTTCCCTCTCCCCTCACCCTTGTCCCTCTGCTGTGTTTGTCCCCCATTCACTACTTATACTACACGTCCCCTTACTACCTCTCTATAAAAGTACTAGGAGTGCACGTTTGTTGGTCAATGAGTACCGATGTTCTCATAGATTACAGCACAAGTTCTATATACACAGTCATATAAATATGACAGAGCCCATTAGGTTAATGATAAGATACCAAAACCGGGCCAGGATCACTTACCATTGAGTCCAACGAAACCTTTGGCGAACTCATCTTCAGTAAGAGGACCCACGAAGGCACCGATGAAAAAGTCCAAGATGGCCACCAGAAGCACCACCAGTAGAACCACTTGTGCCTGTATATAAATTAGGCTGGTGAAGATATTACGCTCATCAATATTTTGTTTTAGCTTCTATGCAAAAATACATATTGAACAATTATTTGAAATGCACTTTTGATTTGTATAGGATGCCAACTAAATCAAATCTCCTAATTTAATTTACTTCACATTTTAACTAGGTCATCGTGAATCACGTGAGCTCAACTCCAGGAGAGTATCAACAGCCCGGCATCACAACTTACCCTAGCCTCCCACTGCATGCCGATGACGCAGATCGCGAAGAGAATAACTAGGGCAATGCTGCCAATCACCCTAACATCATTTACACCATTGTCGAAGATCAGCAATCCCTGGGACTTCAGCAAGTCATTCAAGGACTCGCAGAAGCCAACAATGTACATGGAGGCAGCAATGGCATTGGCCAGGGAGAAGATTAACCCAATGGACCCTCCAAACTCCGGTCCCAACGACCGACTGATCATGTAGTAGGTACCGCCTGTGGGAGACAAGTAAACTTTTAATGACAGGCATTTATGTAGCATTAGAAAGATAAACGAGACATGTAATTTGTTGAACAAAGTGCAGCTTCGGTGACACACGATGCACTGGAACAAGTTAGAATTTACAAGATGTAACAGGTAGTGCAGGAAAGGCCATAATACTGAGACATGTAAAATGCGCTACAATAGGGTGTAGACGCCAGCATTAACTGGACTGTACTACAAGAAAACGTGGAGGCGCCAAGCCCGATACAGTCATAAATATGACAGAAGATACTTGAGTTAATAAAGCATCACTCAAATTAACCAATGTATAGTAGGCGGATCCAAGTTGATCATTCCCTACAAATATATATGGGGGAATTTGCATGAAAGTACTCACACGCATCCTATTACAAACACACAGGCAAGTTTATATAGACGAGTAACCTACACTCACAGGTACAAATAGGTGAGTTTATACAATTACGTTAATCAGCGCCCGCGACTCTAATCCAGAATCCGGGTTCTTTGGTCACCAAGGGCATGCTGTTATATAATTAGTGGGATACATATGAAATAGTGGATGACAAACCTCCTTTGATCTGGCCGTTGGTGGAAATAGCAGACATAGAGAGAGCGGTGATGGCAGTGACCACGTTACCACTGGTCACAATCAGCAAGCCTTCCACTGCAAATACAAATTGTAAATGTGTGGCCACGTCTGTGGTAGAAAATAATAATAATAAAAACTGCAAACACAAACACACGTCCACACCTTAGTACAGTATATCATATCATGGGTCCACAGTAAACAAAATGCTAAGGCTGTTATGTAACAGGATCAGCTCATGTGTATAAACAAATAAATCTTTGCCACTGTACAAAACCAGTTATTTTTTTAAATATATGGCTGCGTTCTCTCCTTAATTCTCAGCTAAAATATCCAATACGTATTATATTTATGTAGTTTCCCTTACCAACTCTCAATTCCCAGAAAAACAATTATATAATCCCTAAAAATAAATACAATACAAGGTAACAATGAAATATTCAGAAAACAAATAAATGATACAATAATCTTCATACTTCATTTTAATATTACCATTAAAATTCACAACAATTCGTTAAAGCAGGCTAAACACACATTGTGGGAAAAATCTAAACTGTATAATGTATTATACGCTACCGAATTACCAGTTTTGTTACTTATATCGTTACGGTTATCCTCTGCACAGCAGTGTATTATGCCTGTTCCTTATATCTTCAGTATCAGTAGTAGTAGGCATCCATCAGTCTCAGGAGACTATGGAGTTGCGCTCTGGTTGTCGGTCTGGAGTGGCCTCACCAGGGCTCTCCAGTATCAGTATGCTTCTACATTATCTACCAACATCAAGAATCTCCAGCAATACATGCCAAAACGTATTGTCGAGAGTCTCCTTCTCCCCCTCCCACCAGAAGAGACGCGCACCTGCGACTCGCCGGCTCCAATTTATCACCAGCAAACTGCCACTTACCCTGCCGGTTGCTCGTCTACGATTCGGCTTCGCGTCAGTATGACATCGCCGCAGTTATAAACGCCCTGGGCAGGGCCGTGGCCAACCAGAAGCCTCTTGGTGCTCTCTCAGCTCACTTGTGTTTTCCCTTATCTTGATGTTCTTACGAACGGGTGACGGTTAACATTCAGAGCACATTATACCTTCTTTCATTCACCTTTTCACCTTTTTCACATTCACCTTTTTGTCAGTAACGTAAATTCACCTGTATGTATTTTCTTTTTAATTGTGTTAAGCTAAGTGGTCAAGGTTTTTTTGTCAGTGTTTATTATTTTGTGTAAAATTAGTCATTTTTTGTTATATTAAATCTTTTAAAGTTTTTATTCTCGTTTTTTGCCCGTAATTGGTACACCGTAAAGGACTCGGCAGCTTTATTATTTTTTATTAATGTGAGATTTGGTACAACACCTGCCAGGATAGTAACTGCGCTATTCCAGATCACGTCTCAATATATATACAAGAGTTCTTACATTATTGTACAACCACTCCCAAACAGAACGTTTCGGGCAGATCCTTAATCCTAATTTTCCCGGGAATACGACCCGCCAAATCGTTTAACTACCAGGTACCCATTCACTGCTGGGTGAACAGAGACATATGCGGGAAACTGTCTCTGTTCCCTCAGCAGTGAATAGGTATTTGGTTGTTAAACGATTTGGCGGGTCGTATTCCGGGGAACATTAGGATTAAGGTGCTATGCGTGCTAGTGGCTGTGCAACACTTAAGGATTAGCACCCGGTCAATCCTCCCCGGCCAGGATACGAACCCAGGCTAAAGCGCGCGAGAAGCACCTGGCGAGTGTTTTACCACTGCGCCACAGGAACAGTTTATATTCGTGCATAAGTACACTACACAAAATTAAACACCACATACATACCACTATTTAGAAAATAGCAAATTCAATAGTTTCTAAAAGAAACTAATAGGAAACAGAAGGGTGAAATCATTGCTTTAGGCAACAGACATTTGGTAAGCGGGACTCTGGACATTATTATTTTTATTATTATTATTATTATTATTTTCTACCACAGACGTAGCCACACATGGACTTCTACCACTTCAGTATATTAATGCTATTACACTCGCATATATAAATTATGCCAGATGCTTTTTGTAATCGAAAATCTATATACATCCGTGACAACATATTTTATGGAAACATGTTCAACGTGACACTAATCCTCCAGCACCATGAATTCTGCAATTCCTGCCTCAACAACCACCATGGAATGTTTAGGAGACACAAAAAACTGATCAGTAGTTCTATACATAATGTCACCCATAATTACACCTATATCTTCGTATCCAGGTGTGAGTACACTTACACACACACACACAGAGCGGGACCAAAGAGCCAAAGCTCAACCCCCGTAAGCACAAATAGGTGAGTACACACCAGCTTGTCCAAGACCTATACAGGTCAATTTATGTACATAATTCTAACTAATTAAACCAGATACACTGATCACAATCGAATAAACAGCGCATGGTATAGTTTCTACAGACGAAACAGAGGTTACTAATCGTTATTTCTAACACGGCCTTCCAGTAGACTTGCATAGATACTTAAAAGAAAATAAATTACCAGTAATACATTATATACGAAACTTCTAATACAAAAATATTATAGTTTTCATATAATGGGGAGTGTGTGAGCACTTCACGTTACCGTGTTTCATGTATAAATTTGAATATGAAACTTATTTCGTTTACTGCTCAATACCATAGACTTTAAATTATTTATAAACTATGAATGTGGCAAGCATTACTAAGATGGAAGGATGAGAGATTTAAATATTCTCTGTAAGAGTTAAACAGATCTGAACAAATAACCTTTCGTTGTGTGCTTAATGCATCCTATTGCAGGTCGGTAAGCAATCAATATTTTACATCATATAAATAAAAATTATTCCAGTGATTATTTCCAAACCGTCCTTGGATAACTGGTAGCTTATCCTCTTTGTTTTCTCAAGCAGTTGTCTCCTCAGCGTCAGGGCACTTTTCACCTTTACAGATTATCACACGTAGGAACCAAACGCATAGGTGTACTACACTATATACACACACACACACACACACACACACACACACACACACACCGGCCTGTCCTACCACCCATATCACACGTGTACGGATCTATATATACACTATGATACTATATATACACTATGGTCCACCGCCCCACTTCAACTGCATGAGGTCACATACACACTCTGGTCCGGTCCACCATTCACACTACACGTGTACGAGGCTACTTACACACTCCCGCCTGACCCACCACCCAGGGGAGTCTGAGGAAGAGGATAACTCCCCAGATGTTGAGAAGGCAGCGTAATAGTACACCCTGTATCCAGCCGAATTTACCTTCTCCGCTAGATTTTTCCTCACCACTTTCCCTTGACGCCCCGACCGGATCCTGAGGGAGAGAACACAAGGCTGGAGGCAAAAACATGTCTGGGGTGTCAGTATTAAGTCACCTATAATGCGGACAATATTACAATTAGTTTCCTCGAGATATTATCGGCCCAAATATACTCGTATCTGAATTGTTTCTCTGTTTACAAATTTAACATTTCAAACAACAGCAGCAACTCATTACAGCCAAATTGGGCTGCATAGTTATGGAAAGTTTAATTTGATATACTGGTTGCGTTTAATATTTGTGGTCTATTAAAGTATTTTAATGGGTCGAAAGTGTTATTCTCTTTGGTAATCTTAAATATAAAGTTAAATATTCTTTAGTCTCCTGTCAAGACTAAATCAATTCAGCTATATTTAAACAGCGGGTTTGGATGAATTTTGTCTTAGTGTCATCTTTGCTCTCGGTACTGGGAAATATTTTGAGTTTCAATTCAAGAAAGTATTATCTACTACGTCCTGTTCTGGAATATTGACTAGTTTTGGTCATTGTATTTAAATACTAGTAAAATATTCCAGAAAAGAACGAAGTAATGATCCATAATGTCTTCAGTAGCAAAGAAGCCTAATATTTATTGGCCTTATTAATCGTAATGCATGGTTTATTTGGCTCAAGATCACTTGCCATTATCATTCGCAAGCCTCTTTCCTAATTTACTCCATTAACTCTATAATGTTCATTTAATAGTTTGCCTATTCAATTTTGTTTTTGTTATTCGCATGTAGACCCCTAAATAACCTTTATTGCTTAGATCAATCTGAGTTAGAAACCTTTATTTATTATGTAATTGTAAACTTTCTATGTATTTTCTTCGTTTTTTTTCAGCTATATACCATTCCAAATTTTGTATACAACGACTGAAGCAGACTATACCTTGCCCGGCGGAGGCTGATGGAGGTCATCAAGAGTGGGTCTCTGGCCGGCGCCTGGAGCTTGCACAATGCTCGCTAAGTTGCGGTAATTTTCAAGTCTTGGCAGTACTTCTCGGGTCAGCTGACGTAGGGACCGGAATGTGGCTTGAGTGCCTGTGTAGGTATTCATGTTGGATGGGTATGTCAGGGAGTCCACATCCGTGTCTCCTGGCGGGGAAGCACATCGTCCCTCAGTACCTGAACACCATGGGAGAGAAAATGTACACGTCTGTCATCCGAAAAATTGTAAATTTGTATTTTGATCTTTTCGAACCTTCGGTTGTGGTTGTTCGAACCTTTTCGAACCACCACAACCGAACAGCTCGCTTCCAAAGTGCAAACAACCCGGGTTTGAGCAGGGGAGGAACAGAGGGACGAGTGGACACACACTGTTCGCCTGTCTGATCGTGTATTGGGGAAATTAAGTAGGGTAAGACTAAGATGAGCTTTAGGAGGGAGACCTAGCTTGTAAATACGTCAGATCACTGTTCATGTATCCACTATAGTGTTAAAAAAAATAGTATTCTTTACTGTCTTACATTTTGTAATGTACAATTCGATTTTTCTACACATTATTCAGCACATTTTATATTTTACTCAATTATTACTATTCTGATTTCCCATTTACCACCCCTTCTTTACATTTTTTTATTCCGCAACCATTCCATAATTACTTTAGCCACTTCCTGTCAAAAGGACTATTTTCTTGACAAACGATGCGGGTATTATTTTGTCTTTTCACAAGTGAATTTGCGTGCGAGGGAGTCTGGGACTTCAGTGCAGAAGTGAGTTATCGATGATGTCTGATAGACTGTAACTGATTGGATGGATAGAGGTTATTTTCTACAATGGATGGATAGAGGTTATTTTCTACAATGGATGGATAGAGGTTATTTTCTACAATAGATGACTAGCCACAATTTTTTTTGTACTAAAACATATCTACCTAGTCCAGTGTAACCTGGCATATCCTAATCCAATCTAACTTTATATTTTACAGTTTCACTGATTATACAATGAGCTGTGTGAAACGCCAGTGTTATTCGACTGCACCCCGACTGAACTGGTCACCTCCGCAAACATTCTCTCAACTCGATCGGACTGAAAATTTAATATCGCCCTGTTATTGACATAATTCAGTGTAGGCAGGAGGCGATGTGCGCACGCGCGTGCTTAAGCACGACTGTGTCCGTCAATTATTTGAGTAATTGAGCTACTCTTGATGCAATTGCAAGCTAGGTAATTGGCACAAAGAGGAATGCAATTTTACATGTGCGGTTATTCATTAATGCTCTCGTTTATATACAAAATGTTAAATCGTGAGTGCTTTTGACTTAAATAAATTGATTTCAATACTGTTAAGAAATCTGATATTTATTACAACGTCCTCATAACCTTCAATCACAATAGAACCTGCATCATCTTGTGTTAGGGCGTAACCTTGAGATCGACTATTTTATGAGGTCACACCCACGTTCCTAGGTTGACGTAGGTAGCTCACAATCTATTGATTCTGGGTTCGATTCCCGGGCAGGGCAAGACGTTTTGGCACGTTTCTTTACACCTGGCATCTCTGTGCACCCGGCAGTATATATATGTACCTGAGAGTTCGTCAACTGTTCTCTTGGGTGGCTTAATCTTTATCAATCAATCAATCGTCAACTGTTGTTTGTTGCATCCTGGGGAAGGTTAGTCGTTGGCTAGAGAGACCTCGATAAATCTTGCATTTCTCGACAACGGAGAACTTAGGAAATCCAAGTTCAGGTGAGTACAGCAGATTACGCTTTATAGCAAAGTAAGAGTCTGCACTGCCACTTGTGGTTGGCCGAGTGATAAGAATGATGTACGGAAAAGGAGGAACACCACAATATACGAGGAATATAGCGGGTAGAAAATATTGAGGCAATAGGATACATCGACAGACTTCGTGATAACTTTATGCATAGACAAGTGGTTCAACTCTCCTTGCTACACGTTGAGACACCATCTATCGCCTTGCTATACATTGTATCACCAACCGTCGTCGTCTTACATATTGCATTACAAACTATCGTTTGCTATATATTGCGTTCCCAATTATTACCTAGCTATAATAGCATTTTGCCTTACTTGATCAAACTATTAAGGAGTACCCGAAAATTAAATTTTAGCTTGCATTTACTAATCTACAAATTACTCTCTCTTATATAAACAATATGTAGATCCGTGGGTCTTATGTCTTGGATCTGGTGGTGTTTAATTATTTAAATGGTTGAGCTGTCCAGCTCGATACGTGGCGAATACCTCACGGAATTTTAAGCACCGCATTTGTGATAATATGATTGAGTGTCTTACCGCTCAGGTCACTCTTCCCGCTGTTTGTGATCACGCAGCGCGTCCTCATAAACAAAGGCCAAAGTGATTCCATGGACCCGCCAAAACCCTTGTTTATGAATGAAAAACGGTTTATACACGACTCGACTGATGACGTTCGAACACTTCCGGAACAAGTGCTTCGCTGAAGACGTTTGTTCGATCAACAAAGCTGTAAATGCTCCATCCACGTACTACAAATACAAATAACCGCCAACAAAACCTAAACACCTAACCTAACCAATGACTAGATATGCACAGTATGCTAATATATAACTATTAATTTATATTTGAGAAAATTCCTATTTTGATTGAACAGCATGTTAAAATAGACGAATGCGTCTTTGGGGCCGACCGCTGGATGGAATGGACTTGGTCTGAGGACGGGTTGAAAACCATGTAGGATAAGGTGAAGAGGAGACACTAAGGGTACCACACTAGGTTACTGACCAACCAGCAAGTGCCTTTAATCCTGAACAGTCAGGACTAAAGGTGTATCTCGGTATATATGCGTCGAGAGACAGTTACGGTACACCCCTGTGTTAGCGGTCTTGTTGACCAAACCACACACTAGAAAGTGAAGGGACTTCGACGTTTCGGTCCGTCCTGGACCATTCTCAAGTCGATCAATGCACATTGGCGGTCTTCTTACTCTTATTATATGGTGAGCAATATACGCCAGATACAAAAGGATATATATACTATAAGCTATATACAACTCACCATATACTACAAGAGTAAGAAGACCATCAACATGCTCCCCAGCCCCTTATGCTGGGGACTTTCTGTTGGCTGTTCCTAATTCCTCCGTGGGCACCCGCCTAGACCATCGGACCTTGAGTATTGGTGTTGCCATGCACTTTGCTGTCCCTATCTCCACTAACACTAGTATATCTGCGTTTATGCATCGGCAGACCAATACGGCAACCATGGTCTCATCTATCGTAAATCAGTGAGAAAGATTGCTTAACATGAAGCAGTCAGTGACATCATTAAGAGAAGTTTTCCTTAATGGTTATATATATATTATATATATTATATATATTATATATATATATATAATATGCAGTAATTAATTTTCTTAATAAAATAATATTAACCGGAATAAACCAACTTGGAAAGAACTATTTAAAAATAACGAAAATCACTTGCTCGTTAGGCAAATCGGGCCTTGCATACTAGGCCAAGTAGTACGATTCTGGCTATTAGGTACGACATATATGTATGTCTAAGTATCCACGTAGGAAAAATGACACCAAAATGCTGAATGTTAATTGTTTTTATTATTATTATTATTCTTGCCAGGGTGCGCACAACTAGCAGTGTCCCAGACACCAGTTAGCTGCTACTCATTCCAAGATTTAAACCCTCAACAGTATTTGGGATAAACTATTCATCCATGACAAACTACAAATTCATGATAGCGTGGTTAATAACAGTGCACATGTAGCTATGTACAGTCAAGCCCATTCATATGCACATGAGACCATGCACACACAAGCACATGCAACCGTTCACACGCAAGCACACATGATCAAAACAACAAAAATATGAAATATGAGAGGTTATATAAAGTGTAGTGGGAAATATAAGATAGAAATAGGAAACAAAGGTCAATTTAGACCAAAACTAGCAAGATAAGCAGAGAACAGAGCAGCTAATGTAAAAAGAACAAAGATTGAACAAAGTGTGAAGGAGGCACTGATGCTGACAATTTGGGAATAAAGCTGCATGATCCGAGAAATTAAGATAATAAAGGAAGATAGAGGAGGGAAGCTCAGGAATGGTGGCTACGATAATTTCACTTCTGGTAACCTATTTCGGTCGCTATTTAACCTAGTTGGGTCCCAGTAGCACAGTCGGGTTAGTTCTCGATTCACAATCGAGAATTCCGGGTTCGAATCCCGGGCGCAGCAGAAATGGTTGGGCGCGTTTCCTATCACCTAATGTTCCTGTCCACTTAGCAGTAAATAGGTACCCAGGAGTTAGATTGTGGGGTTGCATTCTGGGGAGGGACCTTGATATAAGCCTAATATATACTATATGTATATACTGGTTGCCTGTCCCCCCGACACAATGAAATATTTAATCATGCTAAGTGAAACTAGCTAAACAGAAAAGCTAATTAGGAAAATATGACGGTGAGCTTATCACCGAAATATGTGAACTGTGGTAATGTATGGGTTACACGAGGAAAGAATGTCACATGGAGACAATATATATATATATATATATATATATATATATATATATATATATATATATATATATATATATATATATTGAAAACAGGCTAGAGTTAAGGTACTGTATTTATTAGGGTGTTTAGATCCAGAAACTCTCAAAGGGATTTCAAGTCCCATCACTAATTATGAACACATCTCTTGTGCCAGGTGAGTACGACGTGCTCACTATAGCCCGTGCTGCTTGGAGCATTATGTTCCGAATAGCCGAATCTAAAACAACATATCACAAACGTGTCACATTCTCCAGTACCAGAGCTAAAGGTTCAAAAAATGGTGGATAAGTACTATTAGAAAAAATGGCAGGGTTTCACTCATGCTTAGAAAGGTATATTACACACACACCGTGAAAACAGGCGAGCAAACAAAGAGGCAAACAAAATCACGATGCGCTGATCTGGCCGGGTTGAAATAGAGGGTTAGCAAGCCGGTGAGTGGAACACTACACCAAAGTGAAATAATGCAGGCAAAAAGTGAGTAGGATTGCTAGAAATGTCTGGTCTTTCATGCTAAATTGCATAATTCTTTCTAGTATACTTGGGAGCTTTAATTCTTTCCTGTTCATGATTCTTATACATCTTGGGATACCAAGAATTACACACATAGCTTCATAATAAATTCTAGGTAGACTAGTATAGTTCGGGGACAGGTGGGGACGTTAACCACGTATATGGCGCGGTTATCAACTAAGGATCTAACAAATATATGAAATATCTCTACATATTTAACATTGATGTCAATATTCCTACCCTTCATTTTTTTCTTATGGTTGACCTCGGCCGCCTTCAGCTGCTCCTCCGTGTCCACCCGGTTGATATGGAACAGTTTCCTGTTCTTCCAGCTCAGCACCCTCTTCATCTTGGCTCCGGCTTCACAAACACTCCAGATACCACTCAAGACCGGTGCCCTAAAGGGTAAATTCTGTCTTCTGTAAAGCGACAAAAGTTATCTTTCTTGCTGTAACTGTCAACAGAAGTATTCAGTGCTCCCAAGTCATCAGTTTTCCTCCGTAGCATAGAAGATGACTCCTTTGAACAGACTTACATGTATAAGTAGTATTCATTATTTCTCAGTATTCGCAAGTCATCAGTCCTTCATCCGTATCATGAGACAACTCTAGAGGCGAAGCTGCTCCTAGAGTATTGTTTTTCCAGAGAAGACATCTCATCCACTTAATGCTCCAATCGCGCCCATTGAGAATCTTATTACTAATTTCTTCAAAACAATAAAAATGTTGTGCCTCTTTTAATGTTAATAATTACAATCAAAATAATATTTTCATAAATTGTTCTCTGCAGCTTCTCCATTATTCTTACACTGACCGAGTTCATAGTGCCTACCTTCGTTATCTTCAAGGTGAATCAAGATGGCGACGACGAGCCGCACGAGTGTACAAGACGCAGGTCTCGTGTGTACTAACCCCAGCCAGCCCCTTCAAGACCATATGTAACCCCCCGTCACCAGACGGCACCAGTATTCCTACCACCAAGCTCAGTACCCGAATTAATCTTTTGTATTCATCACGTAATATAATATATATTTCTAGTGGTTGGGGTCCTATTTGATTGGGGTCAAGTTTACCTTCATGAAAACTTTTCGTAAAATGTCATCTTATGTACTTTACTTCGTAAGTAAAGATTATCAATACTGTATATCAATATGAGTGTTGACCATGGTGGCTCGACCCTCACTCAAGGTGCCGCACTTAAACCCAGCATTATCCTTAGATTAAATACTACTTAAAATGTGTATTACAAACTACATTGTATTACAATTTATTGAAATAATGACAACTTTGGGGTGGCCTTTACCAGTCCCAATTGATACTTTAACTAATATCAAAGCCTTGGAAATTTGTAGCCATAATTGCCTTCAAACTGTGCTGACTTCGTCTACAGGGCAGTGATGGCCAGAAAAAGGTGTAGTGCTGAAAATTAATCTAGTAATATATATATATATAAAAAATGCTAGTAAGGCGCAAATTTGGCAGACTATTCAGTCTGACCAGAAACCAGATTATTCCAGACTGATTGTCCTTCAAAAAAAATGAAGGCTCCATATCCTAAACTGGCCTCAAGCTGATTTGAAGTGGCTCCGTCCGATTAACTGTTGACGATGGTGTTGTTTTAGATTTAGCTACTCAGAACGAAATGTCCATGTAGCACAGGTTATGGTGAGCCCGTAATTGAGTTCGGTTATTCGCGATAACCTTGTTACTCTGATATTTGGGTCAAAGTTTTAAATGGAGGTGGGGTTTTCTCCTTTTTCCCTGTTTCTTTTTCGTTTCTGTTTTAGTCGTGTTAACGCTGTTGCCGAGAGCCCCGACTTTTTTATTGAGCACCTCACAGGATATTTGTCCTGTGAGAGTAGTTTAGTCACTACCCTATACTCGACCTTTGAGTGGTAGCTTTTTTGTAAAAAGAGGTCATAATCAGACCTTAGCGTTTGTTGACCGACTTTTTACCGTTTCCATTTATAATTTATATAGAATTATAGCGATATTTTTGTTTACAGAATCACTTTGTACTGGAAATGTTTTCTATAATGATTAAGCATTAAATAAATAATAATACTTAGCTTTTATATGTAGCTAATTTGTTTATCTACTAGAGAGAAAATATGGAGTTTCAAGAATTTCAGGTATTATAAAATTAACAGTTAAAACCCACCTATAAACGGCTCAATTTTCAAACAAATCTAAGACGTAATTAAATATTCTAGTGCATGACCCTGGCTTTGTCGACATGTTATACATTTTATGTGACTCAAATTCACATACAAGCTGAACTCCTATAGAGGTTCAGTAGCTTAGCAATATCAGGTGTAGTCAGGCCTCCTGGCCACACCTTTTCCCTAAAGAGTATATTTTTGTCGTGGAAAGTTTGTTATTGATGTGTTGGCTTTACGTCATGGAATTCTGAGGTTATTGATATAGTGTTGATTATTCACGATAGGTTGCAGCATACTCCATAAACACTGAATGGTTCCAGAGCTGGGAATGTGTTACTTAAGACCATATGGCTGTGTAGTCTGGGGGGAGGGGAGGGCCCACAATAAATAATAATAGACAACTGTAACAACAATAATAATAACTACTAGCCATGTTGAAATATACTGTATTGAAATACAGTATATTTCAGTATTTATACTGAATACCAGTAGTTTGTCATGGAGAAAGCTTTAGTTTAATTATTAAATTGCAGGGAAGACAGTTTTGTGATGACGGGATTAGCTCTGGAATAGTTTCCAGAAGAGTTTACTTTCATCTACATTATATCGTGTCATTACTGATAATGTGACCAAGATTGAAGAAGTGTGTGTAACAAGGTGAGAACACAGATTTTGTCCCAATTTGCCATTAATAATCCTTAGGTGTGATTATGTACTGTCTCGAGTGATGTATTGTATGTGCTTTGCTACAAATAATTGATCCTTGGTTTGGTGTTGGGCTTAATCAATCTCTGCATGGAGGGTTATTATGGTCACCCACTTAGTTTACCGATCAACAAGTGTACTTAGTTTGTATAAGTATACTTATACTTTACCGATCAACAAGTATACTCTTGAACACAGTGCAAGTTGAGTAAGTAAGCTCTCATAAGTGTATATTGTTGCGTTAAGTTAGGTACTGCGGTTACACCCAGCTGATGGTCTGCTCACGTAGCATAAACAAAGCCGCATTTAAACTTTCAATGTGAATATGGGGAAACAGGAGTCAAAAAGAAAAAGTAAAAACAAAAGTTAATTGAATGAAACAAAATAAAAAGGAGGGGGTAGAAATAGCCTGAGCTATTCTATACCTTTGAGATGTATTTTTTTCTTGTCTCAATAAACATGAACTTGTTAACATCTGCTATAAAACTATCTTTGTACACGTAATATAAGACAAAAATAAAATAAAGTCATTAACACTAATTTCAACTTTCAATGACCCAGACACTGAAAAAGCAACAAAGTATAATATGCAAAGAGCTACAATATATTTTTACCCAACACGACAACTCTTACTGAACTGCCATGACAATTTACCAAGACCAGAAGTGTTGACTCCTGACAAGTGCCCGAATTGACCAACTCGAGAAAGCTGGCCCTACCTGACGTTGACTATAGGCTTGACCTCCAAGAGGACGGTGGCGTGACTATAAACTTCCGTCTCGATGATTACACATCACAATGATTACACATTGTGATTACACATCTACCGTCAGTGCAGGAACATCACAAGCTAACGAACATAGACTGTCGTGTTGCATAATACGATACACTTTTATTATACAAATGGAAGTTACATGATCCTGTGGTCCTGGGTTCGATCCCAGGCGCCGGCGTTAAACAATGGGCAGAGTTTCTTTCACCCTATGCCCCTGTTACCTAGCAGTAAAATAGGTACCTGGGTGTTAGTCAGCTGTCACGGGCTGCTTCCTGGGGGTGGAGGCCTGGTCGAGGACCGGGCCGCGGGGACACTAAAGCCCCGAAATCATCTCAAGATAACCTACATGAACTGAATGGACGTTGAGTAATCGACGCGGATAATTACTCCTCAATATTGCGGGTAATTATGTGACAAATATACACCGAGAAACGGACCTCCACATATATATGTTTTCTTTCAAAAGTCACACATACCACATACAAGGGGCAATAACTTCAAGCTCAACAAGCCACAATATAGGACAGAAAAACAGATGTTTTTTTTACCCGAAGAGTTATAAACACTTGGTACCGCTTACCCGCCCGAGCCATAAATGCAGACATTGCTACAGTTCAAAATCCAGCTGGCTAAACATCCTCAGGAACAATGGAGCTACCTCTGACAAGCCGCCGGCTTCCTATACCCTTCGTGGGCACTAGAGAGAGAGATGGTGGTCCTCGGGTTAGTATAATCCCGTGTGCAAGTGACTTTAATGTACCTACCTGGTCAAGGTCTGGGACACACTGCCCGGCTCCCACGCGTCTCAAGCTCTTCTGCGGTAACACCTTTATTTTATCTTCTTATAATGAACTTTAAGAGTTAATCTTTCATCCTCATTCCAAAGTAAAGAACCTAATAAATATAGAGAAGATTTGTGCTAAAATCATTGGTCTAACCGTTATTCAATAACGTGTATAGAAAACATGTGACCTCATAAGTAGGCCAAAGTCACGTCAAGAGAAAATCTAACCACGTGTTGAAACACACAATTAGACAATTTAAGTCATTCCGTTGTTTACGATGAACGAACAAGCAAATATATAATTTAATTCATTCTATTGGTATAACTGACTTTTGCGTCAATTTAAATTTCATGACAATTCCTTCGATCATGATCATTATCAAATTCCACGTAGTTTTAATTTTATCTAATGCTTATCAGTTTAAGTATTGTTACGCAGACATGAAAATATAATTACTAGAATTTATATTATTATTTTAATAATTTGGAGGTATATCTCATGTGCGTAGTGCCACCTCTACACCGAAAGGCTTTGACTCACTGAAGTCTGAAATTGTTGTTTTATTTTCCATAGAGTTTCTAGTTGTTCTTAATATTAAATTTTCTGAGTGAGGGGACGGCGAAGAGTGGACACCTAACTTAAACATCAATGGCTTATTTATAAACATCTTGATAATCGACTCGAGAATGGTCCAGGACGGACCGAAACGGCGTCGTCCCTTCACTTTCTAGTGTGTGGTTTAGTCAATATCAATGGCATATGTTGCTTTAAAAGAGGGATTGTATCCATTTGGTGGATAATAATTAGATATTAACTCGTCCATCAATTGGTGACTGATAGAACATTGAATCCAGAGGTGAAGGTTCTGAGCTTTTATTCATCATCAGGTTTGCAAAACTTAATGACTGACTTGATGGGACAACCATAGATGTTAGATGCAACTGGAGGTGCTGGAGTAACTGCAGTTTTAGTGACTGAGGGTGTTGGTGTGGTTGCTGGCTATGTAGAGGGCTTTGAATAATTCTTTATGCTGGCATGTCTTACTACCTTTTGCTTTTCCATGAAGGTGTTGTGGTAAGGTGCTATGTAATTTTCAGCAACTCTCCTAATCTGTAAACTACACTGATAATTCAGGTTCATTTCTGTTGCAGTTTAAATCACCTTGTTCACTTCCGCAAAGAACTTACCCATGTGCTTCAGTCAATGTCCATCTTGGAGTCAGAAGTCCTCGCCACTTCTTTTTCTTGTTTATGTGTCAGCTCCATGTCCACACAGAGATATTCCTCAAAAGGCTCTATTTCCATGATTTAACTTTTTAGATTATTTAAGAATTTCTCTCCAAGCCTTTGACCCAGTCTCACAATCTTGACCATTTGAGGAATTCTACAATAAAACTACTGAAATCGTGCACACACACATTCCATATTTTCTGCCAAACAAAATTCAGGTCATTATCTTCACTTTATCCCATGCTCAGCTAATGTTCTTCAGAGCAAGCATAGTATACCTGCTATATAGTTATATTGGTTTAGCAATTTCTTATAATTACAGTACAGTAAGTACTGTTACCTGGTTGATGTACTGTACAGTACATCAAAATGATGTACTGTACTTTAATGTTGTAGCTCTTCCAAATTTCTTAACGTGAAGCCTTATCTGGATTATTTGCAGCATCCAGACACTAGGCAAATGTCATCCTGATGTTTAGCTCAAAGAATGATATAGTGCCCTGATCAATGGGCTAGAGTAGTGACAAACGTGACGTTAACATTACGGTGAATGTCCAGCAAGTGTATCCCTTGTCCAGGACACTTCCCCCTCAATTATTTTGACTTCATTAAAATATTTTTTAAAAATAAAGAAATTTTCAATTAATGACTGTAATGAGCAAGATATTAGCTTGAGTGAACATCAAGAATATATACTCGAGTTTGTCAATGCATTCCCAACGGAAGGACACTTTTGTTGAGTGAAACATTATATTGTGATGGTTAATGGGATTTATTTTATTGGGAATTAATTATCAAAATTTGAGGATGAATACTGTATTAAATATTATATTTATGGATATCATCAAATGGAAGAGAAAACAATTATATATTCCCAACCCAGCATGATAACAGCTTGTATCCAAAGAGAGAATACCTTGAAAGATATGTACATTAACAAACTGTGGAATATTAAATATTTATTCTTTTTATTGATCTACATTATTTTGAATGGCTGGAGAGTAGAGGAAGCATAGATTAACAAGGATAATTTGTGCTAATTTTTGGGTTGTCTTCACTTTTGGCAATCTCAGGCTCCCACACACTCTCCCTTCTCATGTTTGAAATTTGTTGGGGTTAGCCCATTTTAAATTTGATTTACGTTACTTTAGCAATACAGTATGTATAACAATGCATATGTATTTATGATTTGGTATAATCAATTTTTAAATCATTTATATATACACTGGACAAAGAATTGGTAACCAAGGCAATACTTAATCTAATCTTACTTTAGTAAGATTAATACACTTTAACTGGAACTGGAACAACTGGAAAAATAACTAACAAAATATGTAATTTTTGTTTAATGCTTGAACATTATTTGTGAAAAGTATCATTATATATTAATAACCTAATATAAATAAATAAATTACACATGCATTGGTTTGTTTCAATTTAATGGCTATGTTTTTAATATACTTGCACAGTACAGTACCGAGCCTGCACAGTACAGTACCGAGCCTGCACAATCGACACTTAGCAAGACAGTGTCCGCTAAAATGTCAGTTGTCTGACAAATTTAGCAGAAAATTTTTTATGTACACGTTTCTATTGCTGGGTGTCAGACAAAGTGTGCAAGTCTCACACAATTTGTACATTTATTGGATAAACATACTCTATAGCAATTGGATAAAATATACATTTCTCCAATAACAAATTATAGTTAACAGACACCATGTATTATACAGTCATCACACAAAATGTAGATACGAGACCAATTGTAGAATTGTCCAACATATTAAACAAATACTGTATAGAGATCAAATATTTATTTATGAAATGCTCAAAATGCATATTGTTATCAATCAAATCAAATGTAATTATTAGACAGGCCAAATTTATAATTGCCAAAGAAACTATATGCATAATTATTATACACACCAAATGTATAATTATTATATTAACCATACAATGTCCCTCACATCAACCCAACATTACTTATTGTACTATCACAGAAAAATTACCAAAAATAAAAGGCGTATTGCTTTGTATATAAATTTTGCGGACATCTTTAAGGGTATGAATATAAAAATGAACAAGGGAATGGCATGAGATTGTTCACTTTTTTTGTTCCCCATAACCTTCTCTCCATTTCCAACCTCAAGAGGCAAGAGGAGCTCCCAGTCTCATCAAGAGATCACTTCAACTGTCATGTCATGGTCTCTCGTAGCAGTTTGCCAAAACACTTTGCATCTTACATACTAACTTTTGTGCTGTTCTTTATTTGCTCTTTAACCACTGCACTGCGCAAAGCGCCTTTAGGCGCTCAGAGAGTTGTGCTTTTTGTTTTTTAATTTGGCTATATTTTAATGTTTTTTAATGTTTTCATTACTATTTGTGTTTTGAAATGGAAATAGTTGACATTGGAAACATTTTGACATTAAATTTACCTGAACATTTGTAAAAATAACAAAAATATGTCCTTGTCAATTGCACCAAGACGTTTTTGCCGAAAATAGGTGAGCAGTGCAAGGGTTAACCTGCCACATCCGTATAATCACCCCATATCATTACTGTATATGTTTTTCGTTTACATGTGATACAGTACTACTGTATGTTCAAATTAACAGCTAAACCCTCTTGCCTCCTCAATCTGCACTACAAATTCATTACATCTACATAATGAGTATCTATAAACTGTATCTATAGCTTCCATGCCCTATTCCTTTGTGGAATATAAGGAGCAACTTAAAATAAATTTCTGACATTCTGTTACTGAACGTCTCCACACTGTCTTTTGAAAATATTTATTTTAAACATTTCCTGAAGAAATTCATTAATAATAAGTACTAAAGACTGATCCCATAGCTCATAACTTGGTACATCTAGCACCATTAGTATTGTTAGTTCCATAGCCTATTTGCATACCTAGCAATTTTAAGAGCAATATTTTATAACTTAAGGAATTCTTGCTACTTCAGGATGAATTACAGAGATATGGATGAAGGGATGAAGTAAATTGATAATTCTTGAACAAAAGTATCAAATGGCTGTAGGATACATCCTGAGCACCTTGGAAAACATGTAAATTTAAATAAGAGATGGAGGAGTGCTGGATGAGCAACACACAATGGTTGAAGCAGTGTCCAGTGTAGCACCGAGTGCGTGGGGGTTCTCAAGAGTAGAAGGTAAGAACTGAGGACTGATTGCCACGGAGGAGGAGGAAGGGTGGCATCTGGTGCGTGAGGGTTTCCAGCCAAGCCATGTAGAGTGGCGCCGACACCGTCCCCACAGCAGGCATGGGCAGGGTCCTGTCAACCATATACACATTAATGTCTCACTCATATTTGGAATTGACAACCTTATCTATTAATCCATCAATAATATTAAGATGTAATCCATATTGCACACATTATTTCAAGGGAAAATTTGAGTTAATAAATGCAAAATTCTGAAGCATCATTTAAATTATAGTACAGTACAGAATTTCTAATAAACAATTTAAATATTTTATTATGCAGGTCTTATTACTGTATACAGGAAGGTTAATATACAGTAATAGAGATGATTACTGTGCAGTATAAAATTTGAGAATTAAAATATTAAAACTACCTACTGCATATATGAGTTTACACAAACACAGGAGAAAGTAAGTAGGACTAACATATAATTTCAAGACAATTTACTCTATTTGTATAAATGACACCTGTCAACTTGAGTTGGGTTATTTGTTTAAATATGCCAATAAAGAAATAGAAAAAGAGGTGCAATGTCATTTGAATAGAAGTGTGAATTCTTACAACATAATCCTCAAATGAGGAGAAAATTCAAAGTTTGCATGAGACTGCTATAGGTTATTGCTTATCAATGATGTCAGTATCATGCAATACGTGATCTATACAACGAGCTCTTGGTAGTAATACAGACATGGACCAGCAACAGCTAGCAAGTACTAGGAAAATGTTTTACCCCTTTTTTCCTCCTGCTTCTATTTTTCTCACCTCCCCTTCCCACACACACTCTCACTCTCCCACCTTCCCTTCCTAGTAAAACAATATAAGTTTGTCTTAATTGTTATATATTAGTGCGCTTTATTAATAGGCTAATTATAAAGGTGTAAGGTGGAGTTAAAGTCATCTTTAGGGCAGAGCTCTCATATGGTCAGTAGGGGAGTATCTTTTTTTATGGGGAGTTCCTGTTGGAAGAGGAAAGTGTTATTGGTGGCTGTGCTTATATTTCTGTTAAGGGCTTGGAAATGTGGTGACATACATTGCCCCAAGTCTCAGTCCTGAGGGGCTTGGTTATCGTTTATATCGGTTATCGTTTATCGTTGGTTAATAGTCTTTATCATTATAGCTTTAGGTTGGCTATTTCTTCTCTCGTGGCATCCCTGTATTTTGTCCGTTGAGAGGAGTCATTTGTTTGATGAATGGTATATGATTTTCTGCCCTCAGTCTGTCCAGAAACTATCTAGTAACAGTCGGTCCTCCTGATTCTTTCATTCTCTACATCCCTTTTTCCTCCTTCTCCATCCCTCACTTACCCCTCCTTTCCACCCTTTCACTCTCCCTTTTCCCCAAACATGCAAGCATGATCTACAATACCCAAAAAACTTTCCCAACTCACATAACAATGAAAGAGGCCTCTCTTGAGTGTTCCAGCAGCAGCTCCCTCAGACGGATGTGGCGGTTGGTCTTGTCCTTCAGAGCTACTAACTCTGACTCCGTGATCCCCTCACAGATTTTGACTGGAGAAAAAAAAAAGTCATGAAAATCAAAGGGTTCAAAAATGGAGATGGAAATTATAGTGGTTATAATTATTGTGGTAGAAGAATGACAGACCTATTCTGTTACCAAAGTTATCATAATTATTATTACAAATTAATTATGAACAAATAAGTTGTGTATGATTCATAATTTGTGAACGTACTGTGAAATGAATAAGAGATTTCTAGGCAAATCTTGCCTAGAACTCCTAACTCGCATACAACTCACAAACTGTAGAGACACTCCTATCACTACATACCACCAGCATCTACAGACTTGTAACAACGATCACCATTAATGGGTTCCTATTTTGACAACAATCCCAATGCTGCTAAAGATTTGTTTACATCAGCCAAGATGCTAGATCATATAAATAAGCCATGGATCCAGTACACTGCAACTCGTCCTCAGACCTGCATCAGAACACAGCAACTGTACTCCTTCAACAGCAGCAGCTACCCTAGATGACACTCCAGCCCTCCACAATGTCCCACACCAGCCCCACAGACACTATGGGCCTCTGTTCCTCTCGACAACCAAATTTTCAATATGAAGTTACCCAACAGGTAACTTCATATTGAAAATTACTTAACACTTAAATTTATTGGGACTAAACATCCAGTATTGTTCATATTGTGACATCCAGCATCCTCTAAATCTAGCTGTCTTCTAAATAATCACTAGACACCCTCCAAACCCATTATACTGAAGAGATTGAAGATTATGTAATTAAAGAAATTAAGACATTACAGTACTACAAAGCTAACAAGAAACTGCTAGTCAGCACCTAAAGGAACAAGTATAATAAATAAATAAATAAATAATTAAATAAGGACCTTCTCTTCCATATTTCTGAACTCCTGAAGCACCTCACCTAACATGCAAAGAGTCAAAGCAAAAACACAGTTAAGAAATCTATAGTGTTTATATTTAGGAGAAAGAGGTCAAATATACTTTTTGATGAAAAATGTTACCATTTCAAATTTATTCAAAACTAAACATATTAAACATAACAAGCACCATGATCACACTGATTTAAGACATACCATTAGAAGTATTACCTTTTCAGAGTTTTTAGCTAAGGCATGGTTACAAAAATATTCAACATACCTCCATCTTCTTCCTCTGGTGGAACCTTGAAGCTGCTGATGAGGTTATTGAAATCCCTCACAGACTCTTCCCTGGGACGTCGTGTCACATCAGGCACCATCACGACATCAGAGAAGTCAATTCGGAACTTGCACAGCAGCTCAATCATTCGCCGGTGCTCAGAGGCCAAGTCATCCTACACAAGATAGAAGAGTTACAGTACTATCTAAAAAATGGATGATGATAAACTGAAGAAAAGTGTACTTGAATGAATCTGAGGTTAAGAGGAGAGGATGATCACAAAGAGGACAGTGTGTGATCTAGTAGAAATTAAGAGCCAACAGCACTAAAGATGTGGTAGAGAGTAAAGTTAAGTGGAAGCAGTTTGTAAAGAGGGATTAAATGTATTGTTCGTAACATATGAATACTGAAGTTCTGTCATTTAGGTTTTTACAATGGCAAGATGCTGTGCATGATTTACTGTAGTAAAGTAGTACAGTACTAATTCTCCATGCTGTCTCCTATTTTTTTCAAGTTTATGCCTAGAGTACAAAAATCAAGAAATAGCAAAACTGGAGACAGCATATTGAGAAGGTTTGGGCATGTCAGATAAACGAATGATGGAAGACACTTGAAGAGTGCATTCGAGTGATTCATGATGAGCACTGTATGTCTGGTCTTCTGAAGCAGTAGGGTTGGCAGTGGATGACGTCTGGAGTGTTGAAGTGCTTGTTTATCTATGATGATACATTTTATGTGTGATAAAATGAATTGACAAGTTATAATAGTTTATTATTTAAAATCAATGACCTCCTCCTGCTTTATTATTTACCCACCTTATGCTCACATTTAATTGGACATACAATAATCACTTATCATATGCCGTATTTAGTGTTTCCATAAATGTGCAATTGACTTCTGGTCTTGCCCTTCCTCCCTTGTAATGATCCATGGCAGAGAGATTCCTTGCTTCAGATCGATTTGGTTCTAAATTAGCTCAATCCTTCTCAACTTGCAATCATTGTCATGCCCTCTGTTCCTCACTATATTGCACTACTTAGGAAAGGTCATAAAGCAATCCCAAGAGTCTTGCTTACCCTGTACTAATACTTGATACACAATCTAGGTTGTGCTAAACCCCTTGTCTGGGTATTTCACATTGTAACGCTTGACTTCAATGTCCTCCTATTAATTTCAAGCAATTTCCTGCTTCAAGTCATGAACCTGTTTGCCTCACCTAGTGGAAACCCACTTGTTTCGTTCACCCACAAAATGCTTCACATACCTTTCCTACCTAGCCTAAATCCCCCATACATCTAGAAGCACCTATATAAAAGATACCTTCTTGCTATGTTTATATGAGACTACTTTAAAAACTGAACCTTTATATGCAGTATTTCTTAAATGTTTTAATTCGTTTAACTTCCCATGACCTTGCACACAAAAATATGGCCTAATATGAAATTGATAATTATTATCAGTGATGGCAAAGCACAATAGGTAGTGAGCACAAATAAGCTGACTGGCATCCATTCCTTCCAAATACTGTACTGAACCATCTACACTAGAGAAAACTAACACTTTACCACTACACTAGTAAAACACTCACCAGATGAAATTAAAGAAATAAAACTATAGTTTGAGAACACATTAAGTAAAAGTGAGAATCCAAACTTATAAATGGTTCTAGACTTCAGTATAGTATTGTTCAACACTCAGGATTGAACTCTCATAATAATGTATACAATTAAAATAAAGGTTATACTGTAATTACCTTCTTGTTAGCAAGGCAGAAGACCCTCAATTTGCAGGAGGACCAGGCTGCTCGGGTAGTAAGGATGTAAGGGATCAACATTGTCAGACCTGAGGGCAAGGATCAGGATGGTAATTTGTTGGTTATGATATACAGAAAGTGAATTACAGAAAACTAGAACGAGTTATCATCACATAAGCAAAAATCATTTCAAATATGAAGAACACACTGGACAGATAGGGTGCATGTGTGGAGAAAGATAACTAAGCATGAAAACTGATACAGAATTATGAAAGCTAGAATCAGTTTGTTAAAAACATTTGACAATGTTTGGATGACAGCTCACACGAAGCACTTGACACCTTCTTGAACTCGTATTAAGTAGTGAGGGGCATTAATGGATGTACTATTGGGGTGTAGCAATGCTGGTTCTACATAATGCTACAATATGTAGTATGGAGGGTATGATGAATAATTTTTTTGGAGGGAAGGGGGGAACTATCTTTATTCTTCTCTTTTCTTTTGGAATCCTATATGTCTTCTTGGCTGATATCTCCCCACACCATGAAAGGTGGAAATGTGGTAGTGATGTTGATGATGGTATTAAGTTTGATATAGTGCATATATAAAAAATAATTGGTTTAGGTTATTCATATAAAAAAAATAATTAAAGGTCTAAGCCTTCTAAAATAAATTGGGTCATCATGTTAGGATGCTGACAGGACCCAACTACAACAAGTTCCATCAACTAGCAACTTACCGCCATCATCATAGAGCCACCACACATCAATGGTTCCCTTGGGCTGTTTACGAGTGAAGCGAAGCATAGCGTCCACAACCTGCGGTGCAACAACCTCACCATTGGGCAGGCGGTACATGGGGTCTTTCTTCTTCTTGCCCATCTTCATGCCCTCCAGGAATGATGGGTTGCTTTCATCATTATTTGATGTTGCAGCATTGGTCTGTCCCCCAGCAGCAGCTGTTTTAGAATAAACAGTCAGAAGTGTATGCTACAAATTCTATAAAAGGCATGTGAAAATTAGATTTCAGAAGTGAAGTATTTAAATATTGTATTAGCAAATCACGTAAACTTAAGCATCGCTTCTCAATTTCAAGGCAATTTCCTACTGAGAAGGGTTAATGTCATCTTGAGCTTTAATTAATGTAGTCCTGAGCATTATGCAGCTATATAATATGGCCATGTAAGGCTTTAATGTAGCTCTGTCTTTAATAAAAAATTATTCATAATAAAAATAATTAGTGATAATTAACATTATAATAATTTTATTATTAATAATACATTAAGTATACAAACAGCAAATTATATAGATCAAAAACTTACTAAAAATTAGTTGTTGCAGTTGTTTTAACTGACAGTGTGCTATAGTATTAACTTGAATTTATTATCTTCTCAAAACAAGCTGCAATTTGTTTTTTTTTTTCTTCTAATTTATTTCCATCAACAAAGATCAGGGTTTGTGGACCTTCATATGCATTTGTGAATTTCCATTTGAAGAATGGCAGTTTTAAAATATATTGCATTAAATTTTTCATACACATTCAATCTCTGGAAATGTGTAAGTGTGTTGGCCTGGCACTGTGGTACCACTGGTGTCACTGTGGTACCATTGGTGTCATTGTGGTACCATTGGTGTCACTATGGTATCACATTGACACCAGTGTCGCTGTAAATACAGGACTGATAAAGCTGCACACAACAAGTGTGATATTTCCAGAAGGGATGAATATTTAGAGACACGGATCCTGGAGTTCAATGGTCTATGTCCATGGCACACAACTGAGGGACTCTGGGTCAATTCTTGGGCAGGATAGAAACAGTTCGGCCTGTTTCCTTTCATCTGATGTCTTTGTTCACCTAGCAGTAAATATAGGTATCCAGGAGTTGGACCGAAGCATCGCTTAAGTTGCTTCTTGGGGAAGGTAAAAGCAGGCTTAGGCAGACCTCGATAAGTCTAATTACAGGCTTCCTGTCTCCAATAAACAAACTATGTACGATTCTCATTGTCGGTAACAGGAAGTCTATGAGGAGCATCAAAATCCTCCTAGCTAATGGCTAATCTTTCCTAGAATACAATTCACAACACAGGCAGGTGTGCATGCAAGGAAGTATGCCCAAATGTCTTGTTCTGCCTAAGAATCAAACCCTGACTCCGATTGTGCTAATTGTAGTAAAAAATCATCCACACTTTGCAGATTTAAAAAATCTTTACCAATTCCATGTGTCTTTATTCTGCAAAATCGTGCATGACCTGGTCATAATATTTAGGGTGTATTTGATTCAGTGTCAAAGTTATATAATAGGCAATGGATATTCTAAATTATAATTTTTTTTTTAAATTATACATTTTACCTGCAATACAAAATTTTTTTACATCAACAGTAATAAAAAAAACAGTAATGAAAGTATTGAAAAACTATATATTTTGTTTGCAGTCCCTCAGTTGTTATCTGAGCCATGTACCCAGTGAGTATGGAAAACACGTTACGCAGTAGAATAGTGCGTCTGAAGTTATTTCACTTGTATCAAGGAAAATTTGGACAAAAACTTGATTGATCAATGTCATTACTTACAGGAATCAGGATGAAGATCAGCTTCATTTTGGTAGTGATCAAAGCTCCCTGCAGAAACAGATGAAGGTAAAGCTGAGGGATTGGGGCTGGATGTAGTGGGGGCACTGGAAGACGTAGGGTTGGCAGCAGCATTAGCATTGTAGGTGGCTTCTTCTTCCTCCTGTGGCACCTCTGTGAGGTTAGAATAGTCAAGGCCGCCCTCTACGCGCAAGATTCCAACAGCCAGGTACAAGCCAAAAGCATAACTGTAGGGATATCGCATTTATAAATATAAGAAATACAAGGCAAGGCATAAGAGAAACATTATACAATTTCTAACAAACACAATTATGGCAAAATACATAAATATTTATACAAATAAAACATAGTATAGTCACTCACTGGATGGTTTTGAAATAACTCTGTAGTTCCTCAGATGGGCATGTCTGCCAGGTGGACTTGTAACCCATGAGGACTAAATTGGGTCGTAATTTACCCAGTCCCACATTACACATTAGCATCCTGGCAGCCAAATCCATAGAGGGGCCGTCAGCAATGGAGTAGAAGGCCTTCACCTTGTGTCGATACAACCAGCTAGTGGCTTCTGCTATCAGTCTTGCCCGTAACCTTTGTGACTGTTGCTCCTGTGATCATAAAGTAAAGTGTCAACTTTCTTACTACCTATTATCATTTTGTTGTCATCTGACTATTTAAATACATTTCTTTTTACTGTATCTACCCCATTATCATAAGAACAATTGTTGTCTATCATTTGTCCACCTAATTTGTGCAAATAACTTACTTTGAAGCAGTGACCTGTGACCAGAAGGGACATATTCTTCGTGATGGAATGTGCAAAGTGGATAAGAGGCGGCCTGGAGGAGGGTGACCCACTCAACACCAGGATCTGGGGACGGTAGGTTTTGATATGCTCTTCCATCTGATTTAGAGTCAAGACTGAGCTCAGAGCAAGGTTGTACGTCTGTGCTTGTGTTGATGACCCCCAGTTTACATCTGGAAGACAAAAGCCATGCAATTATTATGAAATACAAATCTGAGAGAAGACATCACTGAAGATGACATTTTGGCTGTAAGGGCTTTTTTCAAATAAAGGATTTGATTTGATAAAGCATTTACAGATAAAACATCATTTTCAGTAGTGAGCCTCAACATTATTTCCACTTAAAGCTACTGACATTCATTTACACATTCAATATTTCCTGAAGCTATAATAATTTTTAGTTTCGGCAAAATTTTTATTATTAATGATATTTTCTGAGTCTACTGCTTGGTCCCTAAGGCAAAGGACCTGCTAACACAAAAACAATATAATTTGTCAGAGCCCAGTCGACAAACTCTGCTGGGCCATAAGTCACATCTTCGGAGAACTTATGTAGCTATTTAACAAATTATTCTTTATGCAAGAAGTAAGCTTATGAGAAGACAATTCATAGTTACCAGTGAGTTTGAGGTGATTGCAGTGATTAAGCCTTATATACAGATATCATAATTGAGAGAAGAGCATGTAGTTTGGTGTGATAGTGTGATAAGAGAGGAATGGAATGCACAGTCAAATGGTATAGTCTCACAGAGCTAAGCCATAGCTGTAAACATTCACAACTTTAGGCACTACTAGCAAGTCGAACTCTTGAACACAGAATGCAAAAATTCAGACTGTAAAAACTCGGCCATATTTAACTGAAAATCCAGTCCCTGACTGCTAACATGACATACAGTCAGGAAGCATGTGACATGCCTTAAGTCAGGGTGGTGTGGTGCTGTTGTTTTGGTGGGAGTCGGCTCAGGTGGCCAGGCAAGATGACTAATAATTACTAGCAAGTTCCTGCCACTGACAATAATTTTATGCCAAAGGTGTGGAACCAGGGAACTATGTATGTCATTCAGACAGGTTAAGGTCAGCACTGAATAGTTGATTGTATATACAGCCTCATCCTTAATGAAGGGGACCTCGATAAGCTTAAACGACTTCTTGTCCTGATATTCAAATTCAATACCCTTCCTGTTAGGCTAAGAAAGGAAATGCTTTGAGTAAGAAAGTACAAACAGAGAAGAAGAGAGGAAAATTTGAACAAAAGCTGGGAATGGAAGATTACCTGGCTTTCTGTAGGACACAATGATGTAAAGGACGAGGATGATGACGACAGTGATGAGTGCTGTGTACCACTGGATGAGGAACATGATGGCTGTACACAACAGTCCCCCAACCAGACTCAGCCACTTGTTATAGTACTGCAATGCACAAATATATTAATATACCACTGGAATAAGCATGCAATAATAAAACAAATATTATAATCTGTCATTTGTGTAACTGCAAAAAATATTTTGTATTATAGAATTTACTTAAAAAGAGCATATAATTAAGTCTCTGTACCCAGATTCACGAAGCAGTTACGCAAGTACGTACGAACGTGTACATCTTTCCTCAATCTTTGACGGATTTGGTTACATTTATTAAACAGTTTGCATGCATGAAAACTTGCCAATCAACTATTGTTATTGTTATAAACAGCCTCCTGGTGCTTCGGAGCTCATTAACTGCTTAATAATTGTAAACAAAGCCACCAAAGATTGAGAAAATATATACAGGTTCGTAAGTGCTAGCGTAACTGCTTCATAAATCCGGGTCCTGGACATTAAATATCCGTTTCAATGATGGGTCCCCTCCAAAATTATCTATTTGGGGAAGACTCCATCATGTTGTATCAACAAAATCAATACAAGATGGTGGAACAAACCTTGAAGGTGGGTCTCCAGCTGGGAATGTGCTGTAGGGAGGCATGGAAGGTGGAGAAGTTGATGAGGGCGTAGGCGGCCAGGAAGAAGTTGGTGATGATGGGAGCAATTGAATCGAGGCGAGCTGACAAGGAGAAGGGAGAGAAGGCACATGATTAATGGACTGTGGTCGCTGTTGAATTATTCACTATTAATATACCTTTATGATACATTACTATATTATAATTTTATATATTTTACTATATATACTATACTTTTATTATACATTACTATATTCTTAATATGTATTAGAGGTATTTTGACAATTAAATATAGTTTCTAAACTTAAAACATTAAATATTATCTTCCAGTCAAATTTAATTTACTCAGAATGACCCAGGTGCACCCCCCCCCCAACACTATGCTCCCAGCACAGGTGTCTCAGCCCATTATATGCCATAAGCCATGAACCAACAGAGGGCTGTCTCTGCCACCTTACATGACCCAACACAAATATTTCTGTCCCCTTACATGCCATGACCCACGACCCAACAGAGATGCCTCTGCCCCTTGCATGAACTTCACAACCTACCAATCAATGTAAAGACGAGCACGATGACGAAGGTAAGGACGTAGCCACGGTATGGCTCCTCTCCCCTGCCATAGCCTTTAGCGAAGAACTCAATAAATGGGTACAGCTTATCCTTACACAAAGCCTACAAGGAAAAAATCTTAAGTCTTCTTGGAAAGTAAAGCAATTTAATATATAAATAAATAAATCACAAACTACTACATGCAAATAAAACTGAACAAACTTTATATAAGTTTTTTTGTATTAGTTATGTAGCTATATATATATATATATATATATATATATAGCTACATAATGATCCCCCATGATCAGGTTTAACAGTATATCATAAATAATTGAAGTTGTTTTAAAGTTAGTTTAAAACTTTTAGTTTCCAGAGTACACGTACATCCTAACTTGCTTGTTTTAAAAACGAACAGGTTTGCAAATATAATAAACCCATGAATAAATTTAATTTTAAATACTTCTGGCCCGTGTACTTTTGAGTGGGCAAACTTGCTCATGCTTGAAATCTAGTACAGTATACAAAATAATATTAATTTATTCATCAAACTGAACTGTAGTAGGTGCAGTACATTACCTGGAAAACTTTGGGTGCCGAGACAATGGAGGCCAGAGCAGAGGAGATGGTGGCAGCAAAGCAACCAGCATAGATCAGTGGGCCGAAGATGGCCACCAGCTCCATTACCTGCAAGAGAGGGGGTGAGTCAAATTGAGAGAATGAATGTATGTTGGGGAAGAGGGATCATTATACACAATAAAGAAAGAGGCAGTCATCATTCATTGTTACATCAATTGCATCAAGGACTTGGAACTGCCAAATGTCCTCTGTCAGAGTATTTACTCAATTTACTTTTGAAACTTTCTATTCTTTTGGCACACAACATCTTGTCATTTGCACTTGCAGTTGTCCATAACTTAGTTTGAAAAGAAACATTCAACATTTATATTATCTGAGCCATCTCATTCAGCTGCTCCCTAAGGTAAGATCACTGTATGCATAGGACAGGATCATATGCCGAGGACGAGGCAAGGAAAGCTGGTAGTGATTTGGGTGGATAGTGTTCATGAATTTGACCTTTACTTCTGTGCTCTAATATTACTCACTACTACACTGATAACTGAAAGAATACTAAATTTGAATAAATGTAATAGAGAAAATCATAAGATCAAAATTAATATAAACTAAATTTATGTAGGCAGGCTGATTGGATAGGTTACAGCAATGAGTTGTGCTGTTGCAGAAGAAGAGGCAATGCCCAGATCAACATCACTTCAATTTGAAGGTTTTTCATGAGTGTGATTCTGGAATGCTAGATTATGTTTCCAGTTGAGACTTGGGCAAAGCAAGGTTGAGCCTCTCATTGTACTATAACTTGGTGTGCTTTGTCTCAATTAGACAGGTGATCCATCAGGTATACAAATGATTTAAGTACATTACCATGTCCCCTGCAAGTGATACCTTCCCCTAGGACAATGTTCTGCAATACAGGCATCTTGCTTGTTATTTATCTTTGCATCTATTACAGATTCTTTCTTTAGCTAACAGCAGGATGAGAGAGCTCTGAAATCAGACTTCGAGTTGCGTGAAAAGTGCCTTTCTAAGCATAACATTTGACTGCTATGAAACCCAATCTTCCTGTCCCACTTCCTGTGAGCAGAATGTTTATTACTGTATGAAGTATATTAGGAAGCCAGGAAACCCAGAAGTGTGTGTAATGCTGCTACCTGATTGTGTCAGCACATAAAAAGTTTTGAGTTTTCACGAATGGACTGTTATCAGTCATTCTGTGCCGGATTAAATATTCTCCAGTGACTCCCTAGCACCATTATGACCCTGCAGAGACTGCTTGAAGTTCTCCGTGGCTTTTGTGCCAGTATGCTGTCCTGCCTGACTAAGCATGATCCGGTCCTACAAACAGTAGACCTAAGTTAAGACAGTAGGCAAATGATCTGCTCAGAATTTTGCATTTCATATAACTCAAAGCCTGATTATAGTTTTCCATGTTCATTAAATGTTTTCTGGTACTATGTATATCTGGAATATTCTTCTTTCTGGAATAATTTCTTTTACATTTTTCTTATTCAACTTTTCCTACCTTTTGATACACTTGAACAACATTGTCTAATTTTCTTTCTCTTTTCCAAAATGGTAAACTACTTACTGTATTAGCAAACCCATTGTTATTAAACAAATAATAGTCCAATACAGTATTTTTTATTAACTGATTCATCATGAAGGTTGACTGATGCAACACAAGCAAAAGACTCAGAAGCCAAATGAACAAGAGGTGACATGACAAAAGTACAAGGTTTTAGCGTCCAACTGGACAATACAGTACAAACTTAAATGCCCCATATGTGTTATTGCGGAATACAAATTCACTTCAGCACATAATTAGTGTGTTAGCAACGTACCTGAGAGCTGTTGAGAAGACCGAATTCACAGACTATGCCTGTACAGTTGCTGTAAGACGAGTCCAAGACTTGAGTGACATTTCCAGTTGCATCCCTCAATTCCACAGCCCCAGCCAACACCACAAGGAACATGTAGGATATGTAGGTGATAACGATGGCCAGAATTGTTCCCTTGGGGATGGCTGCTGATGGGTCCTGATGATCCATAAATGTCAGGTCAGTATGAGAGTTTACACATATTGTGAGTGTATTGATCTATGTTTTGATATGTATGAGTCTATATATATACTGTATTGATATGATTATGATAAAACCTAATTAAAGAACAAAGTAATCTTTAATAGATCTGATGAATCATTGTACAATTTACTAATACTATTTTAAGATCCAACAAAAATATTACATCTACATTATGTTTGCATTTGTGAAAATATCTTTAGTCTGAGTGCAGTTAAAGAGAATATACAAATTTTATATTTTAACTTATTTCATTCTTAATTAAATGGGATAAATAAGATGCCATTGTGAATTCCTTCAAGTACTTATATATATATATATATATATCCAAAACATTGCAATGCATCTTAGTCCTGACCACTCTTCCTTGTACATACCTTCAGGTCACCAGAGATGTTGGCACCAGCCAGGATGCCGGTACAGGCAGGGAAGAAAACACTGAAGACACCAAAGAATCCCATGTTGCCTTCCTCCCCACTCTGGGCTCCCTCATCACGGTAGTCTGAGTAGAGGTTGTTGGACAGCACCGTCCCTGCAGCAAGAAGTAAAAGGCATTGAGCATTGGTAAGGGCTCTTGTTCCCTCTCCCCTCACCCTTGTCCCTCTGCTGTATGTACTCCATTCAATCTGATAATAATTTTCTAGTGCTGGGAACAGAAAGCCTTGCAGGTTATCAAGGTCCCCTTAGGCCAAAAATTGATCTTTCCCAGTATGCCAGCTATTATAGTTACCAAACTTCCTATTTACTGCTAGGTTAACAGAGACCTGATGTGTAAGGAAACATGTCCATATCCCCTCACCCTGCCCATGAATCGAACTTGGTTACAATAGGTTGCGAGTCGACTGATCTAACTACTATACTACAGGTATGTGCCTATCTCTGTCACTCCTGGCAACAACATTAGAGAGCACTTGGGACAAGCCCCAGCAGAAAAACAAAAGTCCAATGCCAAAACAGGATCCTTACCATTGACGCCGACGAAACCCATGGCGATCTCTTCATCAGTAAGAGGACCCACAAAGGCACCGATGATAAAGTCCAAGATGGCCACCAGAAGCACCACCAGTAGAACTACTTGTGCCTGTACATAGATCAACATTTTAATAATACTCTACTTAAATATTTTGCTCTGACTTGTGTGTATGCACATACTCTATACTGTAATAATAAATACAGTATATATACAGTACAGTATTAATAAAATTTTTATTAATGATATAATAAAATAAATCTAATTAGTTCACCACAGCTGTAAATTGCTTAGTCCATGGAACACTGAGGTCTACTTCTTGAACTCTAAAATCTTTCTGCCACCCATTACAAAATAGATATTGTGTCCTTAGTAAACTAATTAATTACCAGTACAGGTACCTAAAGTTTGTGTACAGTAGTTTTGTGATTTAAATTGTCATCTTGAATCATGAAAGTTCTAGTCAATGAGAGAATAATTGAGCACACCACAGTAACTCACCCTAGCTTCCCACTCCATGCCGATGATACAGATAGCAAAGAGGATGACGAGTGTAATACTGCCAATCACCCTCACATCATTTACACCATTGTCGAAAATCAGGAGTCCCTGGGACTTGAGCAAGTCATTCAAGGACTCACAAAACCCGACGACGTACATGGAGGCAGCAATGGCATTGGCCAGGGAGAAAATCAAGCCAATAGCTCCTCCAAACTCCGGTCCCAGCGAGCGACTGATCATGTAGTAAGTCCCACCTGCAGAGAGTCATGGAATTTTAATATGAAAAGTGATGGAAAGGCACTTCAGTGCCTGGGAGAAGGATAGATGAGACATGTAATCAGATGTAAACTACAGTATTTGATGAGAAGAGATAACTTACCAAATACTGCTCACAAGATTGGTTTGGTGTGCACAATATATTACAGAGCACATGATGAGTATGGTGTGCACAGTATATTACAGCTCACATGAGTATGGTGTGCACAATATATTATATCTCACATGATGAGTATGGTTTGCACAATATACTACATCTCACAAGATGAGTATGGTGTGCACAGTATACTAATCTCACAAGATGAGTATGTTGTGCACAATATATTTCAACCATATCTCACATGATGAGTGTGGTATGCACAATATATTATATATATCTCACAAGATGAGTATGGTGTGCACAATATATTACAGTTCACATGATAAGTATGGTGTGCACAATATACTACTGCTCACAGGATGAGTGAGCATTCTGTGAGCATCCAATAAGCTTCCACTCACAGGATAAGCATGGAGTGCACAATAAACTACCTCTTATCACATATACATCCCAGGTACATAAGTGCACAATTTACTACTGCTCACAGGAGGAATATGGGGTGCACAATATACTACCATTCACAGGATGAGTGTGGAGTGCACACAATAAACTTGCTACTGTTGGCAGCAACAATCAATGAAGCTAGTGTATAAGTGACATGCAGCACATGTGTGAGGTGAGGGAAAAGTAGAGGGAAGAACAGGGAAAGGTGGTCACGTGTACCCAATCAGAACACAACTGATCTAGAAACTTATTTTATTACCTTTACTGTATGGCAACAATGTGAAATAATTTGCAATACAGACACATACACATTAAACATTATCTTTGATCAACAATTATCAAGGGAATATGTTCTCTCTGACGAGCTACAAGGTCAGTAATCAACAGTCATATTAAGTGACGTCTCCAATGCCTGATCTACATTCTAAAATATTAACAACGCTGACTTGCATTCTACTTTTTGTCTTCAAAGACGGAAACGTATTCTTGCTTTGTTTAGTGATGAATATGTGAGCAGTGGCAGGTAGCAGGGTGGAGAAATGATGGGGGGGAGGGCAAGTAGTGTGGAGTGGGACAACAGGTGGAGTGGAGTGGGGCAACAAGTGGTGTGGAGTGGAGTGGCGATGGAAGTTGAGTGGAGTTGTGGAGCAAATGGTTATTGTATGCAGACCTACACACCTGAGTACCATTAAGCACGAATACACCATGTACACAGGAGGACACAAAGGATAGAGGTGATGTGATATGGTAATTGCATCAAGATACTCGACGGAATAAGTAAACAGAGAAGACGTGCTTAATATGACGACTCTAAGAAAATAATGGAAAACCATGACTGAAAACTTCAGAGGGAGTCACTACACTACTCTAGACAACCAACTGATGACAAGGCGGGGTTCAGGAGCTAGCGCTCGAAGCAGCAGGTACATACTGGGGGAAGACAGGGTGTGCATTCATCACACGCATGAACCAAGGGCATGCTGCTATATAATTAGTGGGAGAAATATGAAATAGTGGATGACAAACCTCCTTTGATCTGGCCGTTGGTGGAAATAGCAGACATGGAGAGGGCGGTGATGGCAGTGACCACGTTACCACTGGTCACGATCAGCATGCCTTCCACTGCAAATACAAATACACACGTACAGTATAACTGATATACTCAGTATATCATAACATGGGTCTACAGTACACAAAATTCTATAGGTTGTTAGTAAAGAATTCATGGCTAGTATCACTCTTTTTTCCAAAGTTTAACCTCATTTAGAACCCTTTGACATGTCCTATCATTTAATTTTAGACTAACTTTGAGTGGTTTTAATAAAGCTGCTCTTGGTTGTTTGCTGAGGTTTGTGTTAAGGACATATCAAGGGGAACCCAAAAGGATGTTTCCCTGGAAAGTCAGATTCCCACAGTTTCATATATATATATATATATTGTGTAGATGAGGTGTGCGGCATCAATATATCGTTATAAGTGTTCATGGCGGTACAGATTTTAGATTCAATGAAAGTTGGAGAAATTGGTATAAACGCACTCGTTTTATATCTTTCCCAACCCGCTCTCATTTCTTCCATCCCAACACTCTCCCTTTACCTTTTCCCCCACCCTCTCTGTCCTCCCTCCTTTACCCTTTATCCACACACTCTCTCTCTCTCTCTCTCTCTTTTCCCCTTCCCCACAATCTCCCTTCACCTTTTCCCCTCTCTCCTTGTCCGTTTACCCCCTCCTCCGCCCTCTCTCTCTCTCTCTCTCCCTTTAGCCCTTCTTCATACCCTACTATCTCTTCATCACTTCCCCCACCCTCCCATTAATAGTTTCCCACTCTCCCTGCACCCCTTCTCTCCCTGCCTCCAACCCTTGACCATGACTGGTGCAACTAACAACTACTGTATATGGACTCACCTATAACTATATGTATATAGACTGTAGGTGGTAGTGTTGAAAACTTGTCTGGGGGATTCTAAATGGGTTTGAACTACCAGAATTACTGCCAGACAGAGAACTGTGAAGTTCTAGGAACCTGAACTTAAAGATGCTCTGTTCAGATATCAGAGGTGAGTCTGTGTGTACTGTGTGTGTGTGTGTGTGTGTGTGTGTGTGTGTGTGTGTGTGTGTGTGTGTGTGTGTGTGTGTGTGTGTGTGTGTGTGTGTGTGTACTTACCTATCAGTGAAAACAAGGAAAGCGTGGTGTAGGTCTTTGTGCAACCCGTTCTCGCAAATTTAATAAGTCAATATTGACTTATTAAATATGTGCATAGGTGACATACTTAACATAATAGTTTCCCTTGAAAAGCTTCATAGAAAACACCGACCTTACCTAACCTACTTAGTATATTAAGATAAGCATCTTATTGCTTCGTAATTACAATTATTACCTAACCTATACCTATAATAGGTTAAGTAACAATTGTAATTACGAAGCTATAAGATGCTTATTTTAACCTACTAAGTAGGTTAGGTAAGGTCGGTGTTTTCTATGAAGCTTTTCAAGGGAAACTATTATGTTTAGTATGTCACCTATGCACGCAACTAATAAGTCAATATTGACTTATTAAATTTGCGAGATCGGGTTGCTTTGTGTGCCACCTACTAGCCTTGTTGTACCTATTGAGTTATATTGTAACTATTCTGACGAATAGTTAATATATAACGAATAGAAGAAAACAAATTCGAATTATTTGTCGAATCTGATCATAAATTTGTGGATTTTTTCCACACATTTTTCAGCGCCTTTCACTTGTTGACAACCCTCACTGGGCATTTCCTTACATTTATGTCCTCTCGACCTACTTTCCCGCTTATTTATCATGTTGGGGTTTAGGCCTTTGGAGAAGGTTGAGGGAGCGAGGTTGGATAACTTGGGAATAAAGGAATAAAGGTCTTTTGATGAAGCAAAGGGGTGGACTGAGTTGCATAGGGGGCTGTGTATGGCAAGGACAGATGGGGAGGGGTGGGGAGGGGCGTATATATATAGGGAGGTGTCAGCTGTGAACGGCTGACAGGAGTGTAGGGGGAGAGGGGGGGGTGGAATCATAGACTGAAAGGGTTAATGGGAATGTGTGTGTAGGAGAGAGTAGAGAAAGCGAAGGGTGATTAATGGGAAGGGGGATAGAGGAAGGAACCTTATGGGTGGTTGTATACGTAAATAGTATGAAGGGAGTGAAGCGGAGTGGTATAAGGGGAGATGTGTGGTAGTGGGTAATGTTGGTAAAGTATAGTGCTAAAAGTCGGATTTGGGTGGGTTCAACTGGAGAGTGGGGTTAGGGTTATTCAGCAGGAAAGTGGGGTTAGGGTGGGCTCAGCAGGAGAGTGCAGGTGTTGGGAGTGAAAGTTTATGAATGGAGAGGGGAGGGTGTATGGACGGTGGGAGAACAACAGCTGGGGAGGACACGGGAGTATTGGTGAAGGGAGCGGTGAAAGATGGGAGTTTATTTTAATAATGTCGTAAGTTGTAAGTATTCCGTGGTGAAGAGGGAAGGTCAGAACTGAATCACCTGACAAGAGCTCCGGGGAGGAAGTACATTTGACAGAAATGGCATGGGTGGTTTGAGGGAGATGGTCCGTGACAGTGCATGGAAGAGAACGTTTATCTTCTCATTCCTTGGTGTTACGTGTTACTCTACACTAAATATTTGTTCCGGTCTAAGAAGGATTCCACAAATACCTTCCTAGTCTGGTAATTCTCTGATTAAATATTTGGATTGGAGATTATAATGAGGCATCCTTTAATAATCATTTTATCATTCTTTTTTTTCCAAGTCTAGAATACCCTGATGACCAAACCACACATCATAAGATGGAGAAACGATGACGTTTCGGTCTGTGCTAAACCATTATCAACTCGAGTGTGTTACAATATCCTCCCTAGTCTCATGCCAACTCCATGGGTGTTAATATGTCATATTTAATATCTCACTTTGCTTTCAATGACAATTGTTCCAGAGTTCATTAATACCAGGTGTTGTTTTCTCTTGACCTCGTGTATGGTCTTTTGAATGGTTCATTTCACTGTGATGTTGAGAGATGCAATAATAAACTTCCTTTCTATGTTTTTGATCTACGGTAAATAATTTCCCAGCTACTAAATTCCTCCAGATAAGCTAGCCTAGTGTTAGAGGTCTGGCAATTTTCCACCATTCTTCTCCTTCACATTAGAGTCTGTATAAAACTTTCTTCTAATTGTCGGATTCGCTCCATAAACAGAGTATTCAAATGCTAATTTTGCTACCTTTGATTCTCGTGTGTTTCTGTGTGTGTGTGGGGGGGGGGGGGGGGAGGGGAGTGTGACCGATATAAGCCTAACGTGTATGAATACATTCTGGCTTTCTGTCCCCTTATACAATGAATTATTATTATTATTATGGGCCTGATACACTACCCACACTACAGGTGCAGGAAGCTACATACACACTCCACCTGAATCATCACCCCCGCAACAGGTGTACAAGGATACTACACACTCTAGCCTAGCTCACCACCTACACTACTAACCCTGTCTGTGTAGGACAGACTATGCGTATGTTGTTTAGCAATGTAAATGTACTTCAATGACTAATGTGGTTAAATGTTCAATAAATGACTATGTACTGCAGCGACCTATATAAACTGTCCCAGTTTATACAGGACAGGCGAAAATGTCTATCAAGTGGTTGACACCATGTATGGCTATGGTATCCAGGGAGGTAGAAATAGCCTAAGCTACTCTATCCCTTTGAGATGTATTTATTGCTTATCTCAATAAACATACTTGAACTTGAACTTGAACACTCCTTTCCAAAGTTTAACCTCATTTAGAACCCTTTGACATGTCCTGTCATTTAATTTTAAACTAACTTTGAGTATTTTTAATAAAGCTGCTCTTGGTTGGTTGCTGAGATTTGTAAATATGGTAGAAATATTTACAAATAAATAATGGATGGAAATAGCCTCGGCTACCATCTTCTTTTTGTCCGGTCGTGTTGGTCGAGTGGTTAAGGGATCCTTTACGCCAGCAGAATGCTCCTGGCAGTATGGGTTCGAGTCACTTCTGGGGTGTGAGTTTTCAGTTACAAATAAATAAATATATAAGTGTACGAAGGCTACTTACACACTCCGGCCTGGCCCACCACCCACGGGAGTCTGAGGAAGAGGATAACGCCCCAGATGTTGAGGAGGCAGCGTACCAGCACGCCCTGCACCCATCCAAATTTGCCCTCTCCGCTGGATTCTTCTTCGCTACTTCCTCTTGGCGCCCCCACCGACACCTGCAGGAGAGGGAACACAAGACTGGATGTAGTATACAAGTTTGAAGACGGAACACAAGACTAAGAAATCTTGACCGAGAAATCTGAAGTCATAAGTAAAGAGATTTTATTACAAAACAAGAATGTGTTTTGATTTTAGACAATCAAGTATCGTCAGGTTCTGTCATATCTTGGGACAGGAACAGGTGATGTAATGAGAACAGGATGTACAATGATTACAGGGTTCTATACAATGTGCTGTATAGTGTGCTATAATGGGAACATATTATATAATTCAGTTTGTCGGGGACAGGAAACCTATGTGTATGTATGTATGAAGTCTGATGTGATGGAGGCAGACTCCATACACAGTTTCAAATGTAGATTTGATAAGAGCCCAGTAGGTTCCAGAATCTGTACACCAGTTGATTGATAGTTGAGAGGCGGGACCAAAGAGCCAAAGCTCAAACCCCATGAAGCACAACTAGGTGAGTACACACACACACTTTAGGCCTGTATCCAGCTTTTCCCAAGGTCGAATTACTGACTCTCCAGGATGTAACCCTACAATAGTTGAACAAATCCACAAGGGCCGTGACGAGGATTCGAACCTACGTCCGAGAGCCCTTGTCGATTTGTTTATTTGATGCGTCCCACAATAGTTGCCTAACTACCTCGTTCCTATTTACTATTAGGTAAAAGAAAACTTGCCCAACCATTTATGTCCCACCCTGGAATCGAACACGGGATCTCCGGCTGTGAGTTTACATGTGTGGTGTTAGTGCTTGCGGTAAGGGTGAATATGTTGTAGTGGTGGTTTGATGGGTTTGTGGTGTGATGTGGCGATGTAGTACTAGTGTGGCGGTGTGCTGGTGATGTTGTGGATTAGGTATGTTGTGGTGCAGGGGTGCATGTGTTTTTGTATGTGGGGGGGGGGGGATGTGCTGGAGGTGGTAGAGTTGTGAGGAATATAGTTGTGGGTAATGGTAGTATTGTGTTGGTGTGGTTTTATCTGCGGTTGGTTCCCAGAGTTCTACTTCTCAAGCCCGGCCTGGGATCAGGCTTGTCTTGTGATAATATGATGGCTTAGAGCGGCTTGCAGGCCGCAGGTGTTGTTTGTGGTAGCGGCATTAGAGGATGGGGTGTAGTGGGGGAAGGCGAGGGGTATAATATGATGGGTGATGGTGGTGTGGTGGTGGAGGTGTGGTGGAGGTGGTCACCTATCAGCGATACCTATCTAGACCTTCGGACCCAGTCGTCTACCTATTTGTGCCTCGTCTTAATTAACTTTACGGTTGTGCTCTATGTCGTATTTGTTCTTGAAGGTGTGGATGGAGGCCAACGACCTTCATGACGTCGTTCACTGCATTTCACTTGTTGATCGCTCGTATAAGCACTTCCTCACGTTTCCCTCGCTCATTTATCTTTGCAACGTCTACATGTTGGAGTTGCTTTGTTGCTGTTGTAGTGCGGGTGTGTCACGGTGCAGTGGTGGTATTGTGATGATGGTTGACCAGACCACACACTAGAAGGTGAAGGGACGACGACGTTACGGTCCGTCCTGGACCATTCTCAAGTCGATTGAGCTTGTGATGATGGTGCTATGGTGTAATAGTGTTGGTAGAAGAAAGGGTGATGGTGGTAGTAATAAGAGTGATGGCAAGGGGGAGTTGTATTAGTAATTGTGGTGATGCAGTAGTAGTAGTGGTGGCTGTAGTGGTGATGTTAACAGTGGTTGTGGTACTGTATTTACAGTGGTGGTGGTGGTGGTGTCATTGTCAATGGTGATAGGATCAGTGGTAGGCATGTTGGAGGGGGGGGGGGTTAGGGAGGGTAGGTAGGAAAATCAGATACCTGCGCTCACATTTCTGGCTGGAAGAGATGCCAGTTCAGTATATAACATTACGTGATTTAAAATTGTATCCCAACCTGGACAGAAAGATGCTAATTAAGGGCTATTATACAGTTAATAAGATAAACTCGTAAACATTTTTGGAGCTCTTCTTGAAATCCGGTTCAGAGAGCACATCACAACTTTAAAATATATGGTATGTTTCAAAAGCATACAATATAAATGTAAATCAAATTGCTTCTTGCTAAAATAAAATCCTAATTACATTTACTGAAAAATTTCTAATGGGATCTGCGCATGCGAACATACATTTTGGAGTGGGGTACCTTGAGGTGCTTCCGGGGCTTAGCGTCCCCACGGCCCGGTCGTCGACCAGGCCTCCTGGTTGCTGGACTGATCAACCAGGCTGTTGGACGCGGCTGCTCGCAGCCTGACGTATGAGTCACAGCCTGGTTGATCTGGTATCCTTTGGGGATATAATTCGTATATACAAAGCTCGTTTTCAGATTGTCAAACCCGCATATACAGTTAAGTTAAGAAGTATTACCCTAAGTTAGAATGTTTTAGACACAAAACTGTTCTACAGTCTTGCCACTAAGGGGTTACAGGCACCATTAATAATAGGTGTCTTCTTTGTAACACATAAGTCGAGAGTTTTAACCAGAAATTCGCAGACACCGCAAGTTTGGCAGAACAAAAAATTCAACGATAACTATGAGGTATTGATTAATGGAAGACGGGATAAAAGTGCTGTGAGAAGTGGGGAGAGCACAGATAACGAGAGAAAAGGTGCAGAAATAACAGAGTGAGCAGTTGTAACGATGTGTTGGAGAGGTGAATTAGGTGTATCATGTAATATTATTTATGATTTTCACTATGTTTGGTATACCTGGGAGTCAAGTCTTTGTTTTTTTAAGTTTACAGTCGTCTTGACTAGAGGGAGGAGTCGCTTGGGTTGTGTATACAGTACTTGAGAGCTCCGAGATGCCTGTGCTACTCTTTTTAACTGATGACTTAACCATTATCTCAAGTACCCACACGTCGTAACCCCATTTAGACCTAGGCTCTCAGAAGTATCTTAACCACATGTTGAGATGACGTCCAAATATATCACGATAAATAAGTAAGGAGACATGGTCTGGCTCCCTTAAAAAACCAACACGGCCCACGGAGGACGACACACGAACGGAAAAATTCTACCAAACACGTTGGGTGTGTCTGTGTAGCTGATGGTTATTGGCTAATATACACCACTCACTAAACATTTTGGATCAGTTTAAACAAAGCGTAAAGCTCATTGAGAGAGAGAGTAAGATCCTAGTCATGATTCGAGGGTCAGAGGCAGCTGCGACATGGCGGAAGTTAGCTAAAAAGTCCAGTTGAGACCTGGAGACGCTTTGTTATTTTATAAGTATATTCTCACACCTCACCAATGTCCAATGTACCATGTTCAATGTTTCCATTGCTGTGTTGGATAACATTGCATATAACTAACCGCATGTGTTCCTGCACATCTAGTTGCATAAGAAAATATTCTATATTTTAGTGTGTTTCAAGTGGTTAATTAATAACCCCATAATTATCCCGGTTGATTTGTGCTCTCACCCCCCCCCCCACCCCATTTATTCTGACTGGCGGACCTTGTCCTTGATGGCTGGTGTCAAGTAGTACCTCCCTCCCTTCCCTGCCTTACCCCCCCCTTCCCTCACATCACCCAACTCCTCCCATCCTAAACATCCCCATCCCCCCACTAACGTCTTCCCCTGTCGTCTCCTTTACCCATATTTGTGTGGTGGATCATCGCCATGATTAGTAATGAGCGATAATGCGGGATAAGACAAGACAAATATTTAATGTAAAGTGCTTTAATACAACCTCTCGTCCAAAAAATAATAGTACCCATTGTGAATGTACAAAATACGGATTTGCACAAAGTAAAGGTAAAGGAACAGGGGGTAGAAATAGCCTAAGCTACTCTATCCCTTTGAGATGTATTTCTTTCTTGTCTCAATAAACATACTTGAACTTGAAAGGTAAAGATTTTGCTCTAGTAATATTGCTGAGGGTCCGAGAAAGTATATGTACTTACTAAATTGAGTCTAAAATTGCGTGTAGTAGGCCTAGCATTGCTTATTTAGGCCTAAGACAGGTCTTACGTTAGGGTTATGGTTATGCTGTCCCAGTTTTTGTTATGCCCTGTAGAATTCCAACAGAAAAGAATGCGGACCTTTTCACAGAATATTCCATTCACACTAGCTCGAAGTACCATCATTTTGGAGGACTGGTTGTTTGAAGTAGGCTAGGCTAGGCTAGGGTAGGCTAGGATAGGATAGGGTAGGCTCGGGCGATTTAGTAAATTTTCTGTCCTCTGTGACAACTCAAGAGGACGGCCTGTATAATGGACAAGCTCAGATAATGTGCTTGTGGTCGTTCTTGACACCATTGTTGATATAATAACTCATTAAACTGAATAACTAGTTTATCAAGAGTGTAATTTGATTAGCAAAACTAAATTTAAACAGACTATCAAAACAAGTAGTTAAACATGTACAACCATTTGTTAAGTTCTGAAGTTCACGTGTAAAGTGGCTAAATAAGAATGTCAGTTAACTTGTTTGAGCAAATCAGTAACTTCACACTAAAGCTAATTTGAAAAAATAATGATTTAATTTAATTTGACATCATTCAAACCAACCGTCCCTGAACAAAATGAGGCGGCCTGATATAAGGAAGTGAGAAGTGCTGGGGTCAGAGATAAGAAAGTGAGAAATATTCGCGATAGATAAGGGGAAAGCGAGGAGGTTAGTGATAAGATGAGAAATATGAATGCTTGAGATAATGGGAGTGAAGTTGGTCGGCTGGAGATGACGGTAAGATAAACGGCATGTGGCCTGTCCTAAAAACTAAATATAGCACAAAACATCATACAGCCTTGAACAACACGAGCCTGAACTACAAAGCGAGAAGGTAATTGTAAGGCTACTGAAAGATACATTACACAACCCTACTTTACAATAATTATATCAAAGTTCTACTTCATGATGTGCCAAATAAGGTAGGCAGGCAAGGCCAGGGAGAAGGGAGAGTACGAGCATGGACACGTTCTTCAATAAGATGAATACAGCGGAGCGCAAGCACATACCCCCTCCCCCCCAGCTCTTCCTATCAC